CAACGGTGCAGGACCTATTAATATATCAGGTTTTACCTACCAATCAGCGCCCAACGACACGCGCACCTGTATCATAACTAAAACAGAAAGGCAATAGCAAACACGGTCGGCACTGCGTTTCACCGCGATACTGCGTTAATTAACCCCTCCTCCTTCACCCCCCCCCCCTGGAGCCAAACAGACCATCCACGGTTCGCACACAGGGGATCGTTGTGTGCATTTTCATTGTACTTACTTACGCGAATTATTTTACGGAATATAACGTACGGATGACATCCCCACCCACAAGTTAATGCAAAACATTTTACTCTTCGCATTCCTTAGTCCACGCCAATTGTGTCTTTTAAAGCGAGCGCGCGTAAAACCATTAGGGCGAAATTAATATCACCTGTGAACACTACTCCGATTTACAGGCACAAAGAAACGCGAGGAACAAAATATTGTCCACCCATAATGTATTTATTCATACAATAACTTGTGGACAATGAAAATGTGCACTGCGCGTATAAATGTATCCATACGAAAGGAGAAGAAAAAAAACGTACTCATACTTCCAAAATATGAACAACTTCCAACAGTATAATATGTAAAACTCCACTGTACCATGTAGTTCTCCGAGGGGCCAAGCACCGTATAGGGGAGTATTACTTCGCGCACCGTACGGGCGCAATATATAAATATACATACATACGGAAGCGAAGCCGTATCACGGGGGGGGGGGCGACCTCGTCCCTTGCTTATATACACACACACATCCATGGGAGGGCGAGTAAGTTGTCGAGAGCGTTAAAAGCGCCCATAGAATATTCTAAGCCGGCGCGCCTTGACCCCATCATTCTCTACGTATATGTGTATGTGTGTGTGTGTGCACGACACGGGCGCGCCTCTCCTGGATTTTCCCACCCCCTCTCCCCCCTGCCCCTGACGTCACCTGCATGCATCAGCCGACCAACTTCTTCTCTCGCGATTCGACGCTCCGGAGCACTATATGGAGCGCCAGCCAGGGGATCAAGCTGCAGGTGAACCAAGGGCTCTTTTGTTACATTGGTGCACCAAGTTTTGACCATGTACTCGTTTGATGTATATTTTTTTTCTCAGTTTGTTTGTTGTTTTTTTCCAAAAACACTTCACCATCGGAGGTAAGCGAGCGCCAATGAGGACCCGTCGATAAAACAAGTGTATATACATGATATATATACGTATGCCGATGCGGTGGAGACGGACGGACACTATCTGTAATTAAATCCGCGCGCATACCTTGCGCACCTATTAGTGGTGGGGGGAGGGGGTTACACAATGGGGATGATCGTCGGCAAAGCCGGTCGTATTGTATACATGTGGTCATCATCCGTCACACGTAGCCCACATATTATATGTGAGCCGCCTCCACCGCATCGGCATACCGCGACCTTACACAATACTTAATTGTGCGTATATACAGGTACATCCAAGCGAGAGCTACGTGGCGTATATTAATAAGTACGTGACGATCGAAGCGTTGAAAGCTCGCTCGGCATTCGCGTGATTTTTGCTCCGATACAGGAGTATCGATACGCGGCGCTCTGCTTCTCCGTTATTAGCTGGCAGGGGGTGGAAGAGCGTCACCTGGGACTGCTGAATTATCGGGTCGAGAGATTTATTTCCACACCTCGGGGGAATTCGTGACAAGAAGAGTTGGTATAGGTGTGTACGTGCCCGATACATTATGCTCCAAAAGACAGCCAATTACACTTACTGTTCCATATAATATTATATATAGTACTCGGTGATGGTTTTTTTTTTTCTTCGCACCAATTATACGTAGTTAATCATAGTTTTAGGTGGACGGATACAATCAATGGATTTCACGGAAGAACCAATTTCTCTACCTATATGATGTGTTGTACATGTGACATGATGCGTGCTTATAATATAGGATACGTCACAAGTCTGTGAACCGCGCGCGTTCTCGAGTTGCCGCAAAACCCATTCGAGGCGCGAATTAATCACTTCCGGAAGGCAAGGATAGACGAGGCGTCGCGTGTGCCAAGAGGCAGCGACGTCAATTTACAATCGATGATATGATGCGTTCACGTGCATGTATATATATATACATACGGTAGGAACAGTCAACCTTGTCCCGTGCACGCGCACCGGGCTTTTTCTTTATTTTTCATCCCTGAAAAAAGAGCTCTCGCGCTTGAAGCGGTGTACTCCCGTCCTTTCACAGGACCTGCGTCTATCAACCCGATTGCCTGCACACATAGCTCACGGAGCGAATCCTGCGCTACTGCACGCGCCTGTTGGCGAAGCATCGCTGATTGACGTTTCAAGCGCCCGAACGTTTGTAGGTATATACATTACACGCATAGGTTCCTCGCTCGACTAGCTCTTATACTCGATCCAAACAAACACTGCCTATGTATGCACATATACGTATTAGGGTGTACATGCCGAGGGGGTTCACTGGGCTCTCGGTGGGCGGATACACGCGTAATGGATATTTATATACGCTGATGAAGGAGCTGCTGGTCTGCTTTAGGTATAATTGGAATCGGGTGTCGTTCCAGGAGAGGGCAGGACTAGCTCCCAGGTGTGGCGATGCATGATTAATGTTGGTGTTACTCGTGTGGCCGGTCGTTACATGCGCCACTTTTGGGAGTAGGCTCAGGGGGACCAAAAACTGTACCATTTTTTTTTTCCCCCCCACGGATCACGCCCCCTCCCGCCGTTCAAGGCTGCCTTCGTTGGATGATTAAATCGAACGATTAATATAGGCGTGAAATTTCTTTGCTCCTTGCTCCTCTCTTGTAGGGGGAGGAAAAAAAAAAAAAAAGAAATGTCCCGCTCTTTGAGAGATAATTGCTCGACAGTTCTTAAAGTTGACAAAAATGATCATGATTCTCGCGTTCGCGGGTATAGGTATATATATATACTCGTCCCACGGGTGTATTCTCGCAATTAATTCGGTTCCATCGGGCAAAAGTGAGCGCTACCCTTAAGCAAAGACGGGGAGAAATCATCTCTAAAATTTAATTAACGCGGCGAGCTATGGGACGTTATTACATTCTACCGTGAAATTCGTCTTTCCCTCCTATACGTATACCTTAAAATAATATAACGAGAGAAATCGTCCCGAGTAAAGGCAAACACAGACCCGATGAGCCGGAGCCTGTGGATCGAAAAAAGGAGAGGGAAAGCAACCATCGATCCGCGGGATGTGTATATTTATAGGTGGTACCCATACCTGGTGCTTACAATTCGAAGTAAGCCGGGAATCCGTGATTCGATCGCGTGCCTCTGTATAACTCAACAGCCGCGCCGAGAGAGGGAAGGAAATAGAAAAAAAAAAAACTCGTCCGTCCACTGCAGCAAATGCACTTACCCGAGGATAATTTACATCCTCGAGGAGAACTTGCGAAATCGAGACTGAGGCTCGTTAGAGAAGGTCTGCGGGCGATATGGCCTCGAGGAATAATCCAAATTTAATTCTCTCTCTCATAATAAATACGTATCTATCGTTATCCCTATGCGCATGAATTTCTCCGTGTACAGAGGAAAAGAGCTGCAATAAGCTGTATAAGATGTATAAAAACACGAGGGTCTCACATTATAATTATGAGGGAACACGTTATTTCACTCGGGTGAATATTCCTTGTCGTTCCTGCGCTCATCCTCCTTTTCTGCGACTTGGCTCTTTGGTGGCTCTTGTATTTGTTACCACCAACGACGCGCACTCGTTGCAGCGCAAGCGTTTACTTTGACCTATGCTCTAAAAGTATACGACTCTCACTCTTCCCCCCCGATTGGCCGAGCTTGAGGGAGTGTGGAAAAGACCATTGAAACCTGTCCATTACTAGGTGGCAGTTCGGAAAAATCATGTTGGCACATTTTTTTTACTTTTTTTTGGAATCGTGGAAACGAATTCGTACTGGCTCTACGGTTGATTCCCTTTTCCGTAAGGGTGCGTATTACAACGGAGTGGCTTAAACGAACTTCCCGGCGAGGCTCAAGTAATACCATCTGTCTGGATAAAGTTACGACATGGACGTAAAAAAATTTCATCCAAGATCTCCGGGTGGTCCGAAAAAAAAAAAAAAAAAAAAATCGCTTTGGTTTCTCACGTAAGCCATAGGTGGCCCCAATTTTACTTATTCATTGCACGGTGGTAACGAAAAAAAAAAAAAGAAAAAAAAATCAAGTCAGTCCCGAAAGCGCACGAAAAACTTTATGTATTATAAATGTATGTATATGTAGGGTGCATTTTAATGCTTATACTTATGTGTATCCGGAGAATTATTAAGCATAACTATACCCTCGCTTCTTTTTATATCCTACGAGTTTATAGATTTATGGTTCTGAAAGTGGCAGGTCTAATAAAATCCAACAGCTGGTGCCTGAAAAAGAATTCAACTGCAGACTTTCGGAGGAAAAAAAAAATTCAAATGTAACATATATATACATACACACAACACGGGTAAAACCAACCAAAAAATCCTATATTTTAAATTGTACCTATATGTAAAAAAAAAAACAATTTCCATGTCGTTCTTCAACATTGTATAACGTTTTCCTCTTCTCTGGCGACCTCTTGGAAAAGTTTCGGAGATAAAAAATAAATAGTTGTTCGCGTGCCCTGAAAGCACACCACAAGTTTTGCACTCACCTGAAATCTATTGTTGTTTTAACAGCGCCTGTACAACGTGATCCGCGAGCAACGGTGGAAAAGCAGTGAGAAAAAGAAAGACAAAGGGCAAGCAAACGTGTATATATGTATGCATGGGTGGGCGGTGGATGAACAAAAGCTCCTCGGGAAAGTTGGGGTTTATCACCGAAGCTGGGCGGATTAACATCCAACTTTTTTTCTTTTTTTTTTTTTTTTCTCTCAACACACCTCGGCCTCGATAAGCTCGAAAAGTAAAGGTCACGCGGTGCGAGGTGTCACGAATAAAGGCAGAGAGAGAGAGAGAGTCGTACATACGCTACCTATCTGCAGCGGTAATCTTTTGTCATTTTGGCAGGTGTCCTCGGCGGGACAACAGCGAGAACTGGGAGGAGCGAGGGACGACAAAGAGGAGGCGGAGAGGAGGTCAGGCTGGCGAGGCGTTGCACCTGAGGGCCGGGCGCGCATGGGAGCGCGCACGATGTTCGCCAAGCTGAGGAGCAGCGGCGGGGCCGCCCCGGTCCCCGTGGCCCCCAACGCCCTCGAGTCCAACCCCATCTGGAACTACTTCGACGTCGGCAAGCAGGTCGCCACTGCCGGGCCCGAGCACGTCTGGAAGGTCCTGGACGGCTACCGCAAGAGCGACGGCAAGGCGCGTGCTTCTCTTGTTTGTTGGCCAACTTTTCTTTTTTTTTTCTTTTTTTTTTTTTTTTACGGGCTCATTTTTCCGAGTGGCCCTGACGGCTCGTTTACCGCGAAAGTGGCTCACTTTGTCATCGCTCGGTGAGCGAGTTTGGGGGGGGGGGCAAAAAAAAAATAGAGTCGTATAAAGTACACAAATCAACTCCAGCTCTCCGCGTCACTCGCAGCCCTTGTAAATCAACTCCGAGCCATTGTTCATTCGCCCTTTTTGTTTCCTCCCCCCCCTCCGCTTATTTCCAGGGCAATCATTTGTATTTCACACCCCACGGGTGGATATTTATTTTGATAAGTATTTTAAAAGACCCACTGGAAAATCCATCGTTTCGTACCTACATCGTGTTTTATTACGTTACTTCGGCTTTTATTACCTGCACAATTTTTTTTTTTTTTTCATCTCAACAATATGACGCATCTCGAGCTTAGTCATTTATTTTTGCTGTTTTTAAAGAGGAACAAAAGGGGGCCGTTCTTTTCTTCTCCTTCTGAGGATACAAGGTCGAGCTTCGACGAACATGCGATTGACGAAATTCATCCTTTTTTTTTTCTAGTTGCAAAAAGACTTATCCTCAATTAACTTGGGCTTTTGCATCGAATAACCGGCATGCCATTTTTCATAAAATTCCAGCATTCGATAATGATAAAGATTTTGAGTGAAAAAAAAAAAAAAGAAAAAAAAAAGGAAAGGAGCTCGTTTATCACAATAGATTCAAAGGAGAAGCGAGTCTCTGTTATTTGCCGCGCAGAAGAGATTTTTACAATAATGAGATGATTTTTTTTCAAATTCTGTTGCACATTTTTGTTCATAAAAAAAAGTGAGGGTTTGTCGGTAAAAGTGTGGTATACCTATTAAAGTTACGAATAAAAAACTTTTCGTTTTACAACGAGATTTATCAAGAGGAAATAAAACTACCATAGATCACATTTTTAATTTCCTTTCATTTCTGGTTCGTGACACATATATTTGTCGAAGAAAAGAAATGGAGAGTAGCTATACATACGATTTCGTCCCTCGACGGACTTACCAGGTTTTGTTGGAGCTAAGCTTTTGTAAGACCTTTTTCGAGGATTCTGCTTTTTTCTTTTTTTGACATGTGAATTTATGTTCCTCGGAATTGTTAAAAGCCAAAAAGTACACATTGAAACCGTACATAAAAGCATTTATATTTTTCAAAAAAAAAAAAATATAAATTCATGGTGCACCACTAATTTGCATTTTTATAGGTAAAATTGTGTGATGATAAATCATGTTAACAGTAGATTGATGCGTATAGCGGCTCAAAAACATGTTTTGGCATCAATATGTAACACGAATTATTAATGCGGATAAACACGAGGTCGAATTTGATTAAATTGACGGGCTTCGTAATTGAAAATTATGAATTTACCGTTATTAAAAAGCACATTATGATACGCCCTTGAATGATCAATTACCATGATTTTTAACTTTTAGTCTACAAAGTACGTACTCCGTCAAACGCAGATGGAAATGATTAAAAAATCGAGGATAACTTTTTTCACCGGTAATTCGAATAAAACGCAGAAGCGTTCTCGTCAAAGAGCCAGTTAAAGGGAGCTCGTTGGGAAAATTCGAGGGAGGACGGGGAAGAAGAAAAAAAAATTTTTTTTTCCTTCTCGCGTAAAAGGAAGTAAGCGGCGCACTCAAGCTCCCCGGCGCCCTTTGCTATGCAATTTTTTCTCTCCCGTGCGCCTTAATGGGATGTTTTACATTAGCGAGCGTAAATAGATTACTAATTTTCCCCGAATCTCGTGACTCTCGATTTATTTAAAATATCATCGCGCAACTCTCTCTCTACCAATTTTTTTTCCTTCGCTCCTTCCACGCGCATCATCTTTTCATTGCCACTCGTCGCGCCGAATAAATTTTCTCGCGTCTCCTTCCCATTTGCATCTCGTCTCACCCAACATCCCATGAAATATTCTCGAATTAAAATCGCTTCACTGAATATTTTTATACTTTCCTCACGAATTTTTAATTTCATATTCAAGCACACTTTGTTTTTACGGGTTACCAATACACGAGCAAAGTGGAAGTATACATTATTTTTCCTGCTAACAAGTCGGTTATACGAACTCCAGAGTCCTTTACCTTCACCTACTTCTAGCACACAGGAATCCGGATATCTTTTTTTTTTTTTTTTTTTTTCTCAACAATTAACCAATAACGCAACGGAATGCTGCACCGCCACTTGTCTTTTTTCCCAATATTCTCAACAAGTTTACTTGATCCCCGGAGCTGCACATTTTTGCACACTCCTCGTTATATCGGGAATACCTCGACTCGATTATTTCAATTACGACGATAGGTATTTACATTAGGGGATGAAAAAAAAGAAAGTAGAATTACCTGCCTCTCTCTTTTGGCCGCTACCGAGTGTTTTCGCGTGTATTTATTGGTCTACTTTTTCCCTCTTTTCTTTTTCTTCCGAGATTCGTACGATTTTTCTGATGCCGCGCAATCCTCTTTTACATTAATTTTCTTGGCTTACCGAGACCTCCCGAGTCCTCCCTCGCTGGCCAAGTTATAATTATTTCACCGAGAACTTTTATGACTTAACCGAGCGTGTCCTTTCCTCATCGGCGACTCGAAGGTGTTGGAGAAAATCTGTTTTCCCCTGCGCTTCCCATCCCCCATTTTTTAATCACTTTCTCCCTCCCGGGACTACTCGAGAACCCGCCGAGTAAAAAAAAAGTCACGTGCAAAAAAAACTACCAAGGGTACAATTAAATGTATTTTCACACCAGAGCGAGGCAATAAAAAAAAAAAAAAAAAAAACGTTTTGTTCCAGGAGGTGTCGATATTTTTGTTCGAGAAGCGATCCGTGGAAAAGATCCACAAGCCCAAGAGGAAAGAAACCATAGCCGAGATGCTGCGCGTCGGCGTCCGACAGCTGGAACGCAACCGACACCCAAAAATACTGCAGGTCGGTACGCAACACACGAAAACAAAAACCCATAGGTTACTCGAGCGAAGCGAATGCAAATCGACTTTGCGCGTTTTGATAAATATACATGTATGCAAACGCGGTATATTAATGGATCACTTGACTGGAGAAGTTTAGACACCCGCTTGCAATTATCGGGCGAGGAGCAAACGTACTACTCGCGCTCCAACTTTTGGACCGAACGGATCCAAGTTACAAATTCACAGCTCATCCAAGCTGTTGCCAACCAGAGCCCTGCTTCGATCGCAGCAATATTCCCGGCTGCGTCTTGGCTTACCATCGTACAATTCTCCCTGCAAGCCAGAGAGACAGTATACTGTCGATCGTGCTGTTTTTCCTCCCCAAAGTTTCCTCATCGGCGAAATTGTAATCACCAAACGAAGGAATACATTTTTTTTTCTCCTCCGAAAGAGAGGGGTCCACCGCCTGAACGATCCCCGAGGCTGTGCAATGCGAGTTATCTGCTTCTCGGCCGCTATTATTTATTTATTTATTTATTTATTTTTTTTTTTTTTTTGCATTTTTATTCATGATTTGTTCGATTCGCCCCAATAATATATAGCATCGGTGAGTTTGAAAGTGATTGTCGTCCCAAAAGGTGATCCACGGGGCGGAGGAGTGCCCCGAGACGCTGGCCTTCGTCTCGGAGCCGGTGATGGCGAGCCTGGCGAACGTGTTCGCGGCGGGGGAGCAGAAGCAAGCCGCGGCGCTGGCCGCCCAAGCGGTCGCGACCTCAGTGAACCAACACTACCCCATGCACCACCAGATGGCCTCTGCCCAGGCCGGCAGCCGGCCCGTCTTCGCCAAGGATTACGATTTGATCGACATCGAGATCAAGTACGGCCTCCTTCAGATCACCGAGGCCCTCACCTTTGCCCACAACACGATGCAGCTCATACACCGCAACGTCTGCCCCAGCAACATCATCATCACCAAAAAGGGCACCTGGAAGCTCTTTGGCTTCGAACTTGTGGGTACGAACAAAACCACCTCTGTACCCATGCCAGCAATATACGGAACAATCACGAGGAGCCACTTTTTTTGTTTTTTTGTTTTTCCCTTTGTCGTGTTGTATAAATATTTTATTGTATCGGTGTCCTTTAGAGAGGGTCAGCGAGGGAGATCCCACGGAGTGCGTGCCCCTGTCTCCGTGGACCAATCGTTTGCCCAAGGTGACGCAACCGAATCTCGACTACATCGGTAAGCGTCACTGCCGAGATGAAGTAAGGAAAAAAAAAAAAAAAAAAAAAAAAACCTAATGTCGCGTCTCCGTTTAGCCCCCGAGGTGCAGACGAAAAAGATGGGCTGCATCCTGTCGGACATGTACAGCTACGGGATGGTCATCTGCGCGGTCTTCAACAACGGGCGGCCCCTCATCCAGGCCAATCACAACGTCAACGATTACCTCAAGCAAATCGAGTCGGTGAGCCCCGCGATTTACATGTATATACTATAGGTGCAGACGCTAGAATTGCTTCCCCCTTGAAAGTTATCCCACGATTCGTTGGGCAACGAGTTTTTCCAGGGAACAACAAAAGTTGGCCGGCGGATATTTAATTACCCAGTGCAAAGTTCCGAGTGCCGGATTAATTAAAATTATGAGCTGTTGTTTCCCGAGAAATGGAATTTTCAAACCAACCACAAACACTGACAAATTAAAAACAAATATAGTATACGATGTTGCAAGCTTTAAAAAAAAAAACAAATAATGGCTCGTGGGTACCAAAGTTGGTGTCATATGTATAATCGATCCTTCCGAGCCACTTGGCCCCCCCGGTCGTCTTAGTTCGACTCGAGCGGTCACAGAGGAACAACTCTTTTTTTTTTATTTTACCACCAGGCCTATATACGTGATAGCGCTTCAGATGTGCACCAAGCCGCAAAATATACCCTTAAAACAAAAAAAGCTCTTCTTGCTACCACATCTATTTTTGGCCATCCCTTCAGAAAACAAAAAAGTGTTGTACACTTTAGTTGTGTGATGAACATATCTATATATATATATATATATATATATATATATATATCTGGCTACGTAAAGCGCAAACAAATGGGTAAATGTACGTGTTACAGCTGGAGGGCCAGGTGCATAATTTGCTGCCGCGGGTGCCGGTGCCGCTTCAGGAGGTCGTGACGCGGCTGGTGTCCAAGGACATGCCCAAGAGGCCGCAGTCCCAGATATGCTCCCTAATCAAGTACTTTGGGTATGTGATGCTTGCACTCGGGTATAACACACACACAAGTGCACGTATACGTAATTATAGGCAAGCTCGTAGCCCCCTCCGGGGGGTACGTGTGGCTCATTTGACTTGCTAAGACTTCAAATCGCTCTCGTACAGGAGGTATACGTATACATACGTGCGCTATTAGGTATACATACATATACATTTGCATCCATTGGTAGAGCCGGAGGCTGGTGAGTTCTCGTGAAAATCGTATCCCCAAACCGTTTGCGTGCGCCCGGACGAGCAACCTCGACCATCACGAATGACTTTTTTTTCCTCCCCTAAAGTAGGTCGAGCTTATTTACTCGGACAACTTTTTTTTTTTTTTTATTGCCCAAATCTCTGTCCCGAACATACGTACACGGTAAATAAAGTATACGATTCGGGTGATTTAGGGCGACCGGAATAGCATGAATAACTATAGAGCGGCGGAATCGGAGAGCGACAGGTGGGATAACGATATATATATATATATATATATATATATATATATTATAGGGTCGTAAACGCCGGGGTGACTGACAAATCCGGGGGTGCTGTCGTCTTGCCACCTCCTCCCCTTTACCCGATTGTCAGCGTGACACGCGTACCGGTAAACGGAACGTCTGAACCTCCCGAGTTTTAAATCGCTTTTTTACGCTTCTCCACGTGGCAATGATTCTCCCTCCTCCACCCCGTCTCTATTTTCCTTGTTCGTATAGCCATCGGATTTTCGCGATTGTTGTGCCATCGAGTGCCGAGGACTAGCGAAAACGATACTTAGCCGCGAGGAATATCGGTGTCGGCGGTGATTATCCCGCTCCACCCCTCTGCTATACCTCTACTTGCATTTTGATATTTAATACGCGGTGCTGTGGGATCCATCCTATTATACCGGCCGCGCGAAAAGCATCGCAGCCGATGCCCGAGATTATCGATACGTTTGATCGCGAGAGTGGAAATTTCATACGTGCTTTCCACGGCTTTGGGGTGAAAGTGTAACTGCGTGGGGCAAAAAAACAACTAAGGGGTGACTGAATTGTACGCAGGGACCCGTCGGTCCACGCCCTGCAGTTCCTCGACGTGATCAACATGAAGGACCCGACGCAGAAGGCGCACTTTTACAAAAACACCCTCAAAGAAGTACTGCCCTACATACCCCGGGTAAGCGTGCAAATCGAACGAGGAATAAGCAATATCTTTCATTTGAAACGCAATGGTAAAACCTACCTTTTTTGGGGGGGGGATGGCAGAAACTTTGGTACCAGCACGTGTGGCCGTACCTCGAGCACGAGTCGCGCTCCCAGGAGGTCTTTGCCTCGGTGGTCCACCCGATGCTCTACATCATCCAGAAGAGCAACCTCGAGGACTACGAGAGGATCCTGTTGCCGGGCTTCAGGCAAGTATTCACGTCCCCGAGATCGATCCAGGGCTCGGTCGTCCTGCTCGAGAACCTCCACGTCATCCTCGAAAAGTCAAACATGGACGACATCAACCGGGAGGTCCTTCCCATGCTGTACAACTCGCTCGAGAGCAACACCATTCAGATCCAGGTGAGCTGCTCTTTTCTACTTTTTGGGGGCAAAAAAAAAAAAAAAAAAAAAAAACCAAATAAAAATGACGTGAGCGTAGACGGCGGCGTTCGTTGCGGTGGCAAACGTTACGGACTACCTGGAGGACATGGCGATCCGTAGGACGATCTTGCCGAAGCTCAAGCTCGCGTTCGAAAGGAGCACGACGGACCAGCGGATCCTCATGAACGCGCTCTCGTGCATTCTCGACCGGCTCGAGAAGCAACAGATCATCGACGAGGTGCTGCCCCTCCTCTGGGAGGTCAAGCTCCAGGAGCCCGAGATCATCGTTAGGGTTGTAAGTAAGTGGTGTTCGTATTGTTTTTTTTTTTTTTTTTTTTTTTTTTTCTTCTTCCATATGTTATTCTCCTGCATATATATTCACAAGCATCCACGAGGAGTGTAGGTATATATACTATGTGTAACCATCGAAGATATTGAATTAGGTATACGTGTGTTGTTTATCGATGCGCCTCGCTTTGCAGGCATATACAGGCTCATGCTGACCGACAAAAAGTACGGACTGTCGGTCAACATAATGGCGACGCGCGTGATGCCCTCGCTGCTCCCGCAAACCGTCAATCCAGGCCTCACCCTCGAGCACTTTACTAGTCTGCTCGACGTCTTGCAAGAGATGCTCAACCAAATCGACAGGTTGGTTGGGAGTTGAAGTAAATGTATATAGGCAAATGTAGAGTTACGTAATGATAATGGAAAAAAAAAAAATAAATAACGTGGGTATAGAAACCAGAGGAACAAGCTGAAACTTGACAACTTGTCGCTGCCGAGCCCGGAGAGGCACCGGCCGCTGCGCCACCAGTACAGCACCGACAACATGCACGTGCCGCCCTTCAACATCCCGAACCTGCGCATCGAGCAGAGAAAGACCTCGTCGGCCGAGGACATGAACAGGAAGAACTCCATCGGTACGGGTGTGTGCTCAAAATTGCCCCGATCCCCGAATCATCCTCGATATACAATAATAATAATAATAATAATGGGGGTTAAACAAAAAGGCTCCATGTCAATGACGGCCTCCGCGGAGAACATGAACCGGAAAAACTCGATGACGGGGATGCTGGGGAGCTGGTGGTTCGGCTCTACCTCGTCGGCCAACGCGGACAGCAACTTTTTGCGCGTGGCCAACACATTCACGAGCCGGCGGCTCTCGGACAACACCCTCATGACGCCCAAGATCAGGATAGCCCCGTCGTGCGCGAGTTCGCCCGGGGGGACGCCGGGCGGTGGTTTGCCGATCCGCCGGCACTCGAGCACCGGGCCCCAGGAGCGCCGAGGCTCCAACATCAACCTGTCGCCACCCACGGTAGCCCACAACACCGTACTCGATAGTTACAATTTATATATAGATATATATATATGACATAATTTATATAAATTATTATAAGTAAGTGTCATGTTGCGATGAGGATGATGTTGTTGTTGTTGCAGGGTGGCATGCCGATAACGAGCAGCAGTGTGCCGTACCTCCTGACCTCGAGCATGAGCAGCCTGCGCGGTTCGAGGCGGCCCTCGGTGTCCTCGACCTCGTCCCAACAGGGAGCCGGCTTGCTGCAGCAGTTTGGCTCCGGCATGGTAAGACAACTACCCCCCATCTGCCTCAACCTGAATGGACCACCACCACCAACACTCTCTCCATCACTCCTGCAGCTATCGGGACAACCCTCCCACTGACCCATGGTTACAGTGTAAGAATCTCTCAATGTTCCTCTCTTCTCTCTCTCTCTCTCTCTCTCTCTCTCTCTTGCTCTCTAACTTGAGAAAAATTGTTAAGATTGTACGCAAGACTTCGAAACGCGATACATACACCATTATATATGCAATGCTCGCGTTTTTTGCATCGGTCTGTCTGTGTATACTGCTTTGCGAGCTGCTTTGAGGAATGAAAGCGATACTGTTACGTATATACATATATACCTAAGTACTCACCCATACTCGCACTGAATCGCATGGTGTATCGGCTATTATCAATATACAACCTTTTTTTTTTTTTTTTTTTTTCTTTGCTTTAAAGTGTACCACTGTTGCTGATTGCACACGGATTACCGATGCTTTTGTTGCTTTTTATGACGTTTATTGCACGAGACTTGCTTATAAAGAGCACGACTCTATGTTTTATTCCCTTTTCCTTGAAAAAAAAAAATCTCTGATTGATCGTCGCTTACATCTATAAAGCTTCAAAAAAACTACTGTCATCTTTTTTCATCTGAATCACTCGAAAATTTCAAGTAGATATCATTGCGTTGGTCATCGTCGACGATAAAAAAAAAAAAAAAAAAAAAATCATAAAAGTATATCGGGAAAGCCGTTGATGCATGTCTTAATGTTTATGTGTAAAGTCGCGAGTTGCTTACGAGTCACTCAAGTAAGTCACATCTTCATATACTTAATATTACCCAGCTTGCGTCAATAGAATCTCGCGCGTGACCGATACATCATGCGATGAATGTTAAGTGCCTGTACATGTTGTGAGCCAAAGTATGAATAAATTATAGCTTTGGTGCTGAAAAAAAAAAAATCCTACGACTCCCATCAATATCGATTGAATCTTAGCTATTTGGTTTTTTATGATTTCGGAATAATAATTGTACTCCTATTTCTTAGAAAAAAAATTACTCGTACTGAAAATCGGATATATATTACAATTGTTTTGATTTTTCTTATAGTTTTGGTTTATTTGTGTATACCACATTTAATTGATTCATTAGAGTTAATTTCAGTTGACTAATTGAAGCGCCCTATAAACATTGAACTCACCCTTTTCTTTCAAAAAAAAAAAAAAAAAAAAAAAAGACCAATTGTACAAATTTATTAGTTTTACTTTTATACTTAAAAATACATTTTAATTATTTTATTTACGAAATAGATTGATTGTGCCAGTCCATCCGAAAATTGCCTAATACGTCTTTCGTTCCGTCATGCTCTCCTTGTACAGATAACCGAAAATCTCCTTTATTGTCATCTCTATTCATCCATCCTACACCTCGCTTACTATCTTTTCAAGTCACCCTACACATGTAAGCTTCCCCCTCGTTTGCACGTGATTAAGAATTTTCATCCTGAAATCATGATTAATGTATTAAAAAATGCAATTATTTATAAGAATGCTACTTTCATCAGTAAATATTGTTACACATTGACCATCAACATCGCCTGACTGCAATGGAATGACTTGTTGACTCTACGTACAACGTGTGTGTATATATATATATATTTTTTCATGATATACCTTTATTTATTTGGCCATGCTTTTTAAGTACAACGTTGCCTGATTGACACACGCTGCTCTTCGACGTCAAAGGCTTCATCCGCGCACCGTCGACAAAATCTAACTTTTTATTGTGCGTCTGTGCGCTTCGCAAATCTTGAATACCAAACATTCATTTTTTAATTGTTTACTTTCATGCAAAAAAATTATTTCAATTATTTTCATTACCACCACTTTATTGGTTACTCAATTAGTATCATCGATTGTTTAATTGCATATAAATATTTTTCTGAGCTTTGTATTGAAAAAAATTCCGTTGGTACTTTTGCATTTCAGCATGAAACATATTTTTTTCTGGCTTAACCGATCAAAGTGCAAATTAATTTTGAAAAATAAAAAAATGCACTCTTTGAAAATATGTTTGAAATTGGTGAGACATGTGCATTTATGGAGTTACAAAGAGAGGGTAAAGTTGTTGGAAATCAAATGTTGAAACCAATATTTGCAATCAAGCACATAGTTATAATCTTTCTGCACATTTTTGACGCACTTGTAGTAATTTGATCTATTATTTTCTGTAAAAATGCTTGTTTCTCGAAAGATATTGTGAAGGGCACACCCAACGTTGTTTAAATTATTTAAAGATTTTCCGTGGGTCAGATTGTGTACTGTGACCTACAAAAAGGAGTAAACGACAGTGAAATCGAAAAAGACAAACGAGTGGCTCTGTCACCCGGTCCCCTCTCATTTTTTGTTGCAGTACCAACTATTCTCTGGACGGTCATAATTCGGACGATTACGAATACGACTACGAGTACGAGTACGAAGGCTCGTACCCGACCCGCTAAACAAAAACAAAAAAACACCATCGTCCAGACAACGCCAATCCATCGTGATCATTGAAATGCAAGGGAGAAATTTTAGGCGGGTGAAAAGAAGAAGAAATTAAAAAAAATCAAGATGCTTAGGGTTAATATAGAAAAAAATGTATTTTTGTGGTGTAATATAACGTAAAGTAAATACGAAAGCCTAAATGACGAGCGAGAGAAGAATTCTCGACATTTTTCGTATTATTTCTTAATAAAAAATACTGTAGAGACAATCTTATAGCGAGTCGCCTGGCGACGTTTTTATTAATGGATAAATCAAACGGTTTACAAAAAATAATAATAATAATAATAAAAAAGTAAGTAACAAAGATCATTCGAGGAAAAAAAAAATGGCAATCAAACGGCAATTGTTAAATTATACACTTTGTCAAGTTTCAGATGATTATTTTCAATTGATCATGTCTGTAACTATTGTGGTGAAAGATATTTCGAAAGTTTGGACCTCCGATCCTTACCTTTAAAAAAAAAACAAACAAAAAAAAACAAAAAAAACAAAAAAAAAAAACTTCCTAACAAGTAACTTGCGCGAGAGACTCAAGAATGAGGAAATCATCCTAAAGATAAGAAGAAAAAATTGTACGAGGGAGATTCTTATTAATTCCTCCATCCCGTCAATTGCTGAATTCTAATTACTGCATTTACAATCATTAATTTTAAGGGTAGCTTTTATAATCTACTGCGGCGGTACGGGCGCGTCAATAAATGTAAATCTCTGGGTAAGTGCGGATCATGGTTGTGAATCGTAACGCGAAGGTTGTACTTCGCACCTCCTTGTTTTTCCTTCGCTCTTTACACGAGTGCAAGATTTCGGGGCATCAATCATTTTGACCTTTCGGCTAACAATCATTGGCTCTCGAATGGAGCAAGCGTCTCATGCTTACAGCCGGTCGATCGATTATAAAAATATTATTATCACTATTATTGCCGCGTATAATTTATTGGGCACATGTTTATCGCAAATGATAATAATTAATGTAATAATGATTTTTAATTTTAAGAAGTACAAATAAATGAGTGAGACGTTTGCGTGTGTGAACTTGAATACAGAAAGGTTGGTTTCTAAGCTTCTGTATACTTTGTCTCTTTCTGTGATAAATCAACTACGATGGTAATCACAATCATTTCGTACCATCGCAAAAATTACCTTGTATCTTTCATGAGGAGAACGGAGCAAAGGTTTAGACTTAAAATTAGAAAAACAATCTTCTTGCCTTTGGCTTCATCACGGTCTTATCGATGTCATCACTAACGGAGAAATGGGAAATTCGGTGTCGAATTTAAACACATCTTTTTGATGCTACTCATACTCCATCTTGTCAATTCATGATGACGATTCTAAACATATTTCTAATTGAGTTGGTACGTTCGACAATCACTACGAACTCAACTCCACAGTTTGATCTTTTTCTCATACTTGCCTTCTTAGCAAACTATTCATTTCATTTTATTCCTGATAAATAATAAAAACTCATATCAAATGAAAGAAAAAGGCTGTATTTCCAGCGAAAAAATTTATTTTTTTTTTTTTAATTTTAATGAAAAAAAAGCATTTACTTAAAAAAAAATGTATTGTGTGTGTATAGTTTAATGATATGTAAATGATTGATAAACGTACATGAAACAGTCATATCAAAATATAAACATAATAATGATTTATAATGTAATGTTTCATACTAATCATATTTTTGCTCAAAGTTTAAAAAGTTAAAATAAAAAAATTACCTCATTGAATTGCCTTTATGGAATAAATCGTTATGAGAAGAAAGTTTAATATAATGCAAATTTTCGTAACTTTTAATCATATCTATGTGTGAAACTGTACCTATTAATTACTACGATTGTAATGAAATCTATGTGCCTGTAAGTAGCAAATTTGGTTAATCAACAACTTACTTTGTAAGTCGATATCGTTCAAAAATATCATGATGAACATAATCGAAGCAAATCAATATTTCTATGATAAAAAAATTAAGGTGGTACATAATCATTTAAAGACAATTGGATTAAAAAATTTTCTCCTAGCAACAAATAAGAAAAAAAAAATTACAAACGATGTAATTCCATTTAGATACACAAGGCTTTTGTACCTGTAGTAACATAAAGATATGTATTTATCGATCAACAGATAATGTGTATAGTTAACGTTTAAGATGTGGGCATTTCAGAATAGAGCGAAAAAGTAAACATTATCTAAATAAGCTGTTTATTAAAAATTTCCTACAACATTTTCAGCACATGTAGTATGGCTATTCAGACAATCTGTAGGAAGCATAATACAATGTGTTTTTTCCAGCTGAAAATATTATTTTACATGATATCCAGACCAGAAGTGACTCATTATTAACCTGATGCGCGGGAAGTAAGATACCATACTTTTGTTGGGAGTCGCCATAAAGTTGTATACGAACCATAAGAGTGAGATGAAGAACATTTATTTTAATTAAATGGGGCGTTCATTACTCTATCACTCTACATAATGAATAAATCATAAATTCATCAAAAAATAGTAATCCAAATCATTTTATCTTAAAAAAAAATTCAACATTATGATAGATAGATGAACAATAAATTATTTTAATGACAACATGATTTATAAACATTTTAGTCAAAAAGTTATTTTTTAACAATATGCAAAGAACAAAAACATACGTAAAATGCTCAGAAAAGGGGAAGAACAAAGAAAAATTTATCATATTTTTGTCAACTTCTTATTAAAATCTATCACCGAAAATTATACATGAACGTTATAAAAGCAAAATATATATATAAATGCAAGAAATCAAAATTGTTACAGGAAAAAGAAAAAAACTTACTGGAGAAAGACAAAATGTAACATCAATACATGATATGAATAATTCTAAATATGTGTTATGTTTGACTGTATAAAGAGAAAATAATCATTTAGACGAGCAATATCGGGTACGATAAAAAGTTGTTAGGAAAGCCTTTCTATATTATATTTTAGAAACGATGTACTATTAAGACAAATGAAATGGAAAGTCATTAATCTTGCATATACTAAATATGTTTATTAATATAGATAAAAAAAAATGTTTCTGAGCTGTGTAAATATGAATGAAAAAAACGCAAACCAAAAAATGGAAAACTGTCAGTGTAAGTGTAAAAAAGATATGTAAGTCGATGATTATCATCATATAGGCGTATTGTATACATCATTTGTGGTTATTAGGTAGATCATAGATTAATTTTCAGTGTTTAAGCATTTGGTTGAACTAATTTTATTTCTCAATCTTAAAAAATTTATCTGAATACAAATCATGTGGAATTTTGATGGAATGTTGTTTAATTCCTGTATAGTAATAATAATTGTATGTATGTATGCCTGATTAAAATGTGAAACGAGATTACATTACTTGAGTATTTTAAAACAAAAACCTTTTTTTTTCCACGATATATAAAAACTTATGTTTTTGATATAAAAAGTTGGGGCAAGCAGTATTAATATTTTATGGCTATACAAAGCAATACAATTAACTAAAGTGGCAGTATTCCATTATGAAGAATATACTTATAATTTTATTTTGGTAAAAATCTTACAGTGGGTCTATAATCTCGTTTCACAAAATTTCGAAAATAAATACCTAAAAATACGGGACAATCGTTAGGATACAAATATAAGAATAAATAAAATGTGTGAAACGCAATCACCAATAAAATTAATGTGATTATCGTAAACAATCATTATCTTGGAAGAAAATATCAAATAAAGAAACTCCAAAAAAGTACTTTGATAAATTTTTTCTTATTGTTACTCTGATGATTTATAATTATCCAACTTGTGGCACGAAAATTCTGAATCTGTAAATTGATGAATAGAACTATCAATTTTAGAAAATGGCATCTAAACAGTTAAGTGTCCTTAAATGTTAAGAGTGACTGGCGCACTTGAAAAACTTAACCAAATAACGATAGTTGATCACCCTTTATTAGCGAAGTTTGTTACGTGACAACTTACTTCATAGCTACTGTAAATCATATCTACAACAACGATAGCATATTGTATAACTAATTACTTCATTTGATTAGTTAACTGCTTATATCGGCATTTTTTTACACACCGAAAATTTCTTTCATCGAAAAAAAATCTTGTTTATAAGTTTCTTTTATAATAGTCTGTCTACACGTGCAAATAAAAAATGTTCAATGAAAGTACACTTAACGAGCGGTTTACTTCGTATTAGGTGATCGTAAAAAAATGTACACCCATGCGTGACAGGAGTATCGCTATTCTATTAAGTAAAAAAATTAATAAATAATATTTTCCCATGTCTACGCAGTTGACAATCGTGACATTAGGTGAAAAACTTTTTAGCACTTGTGTAATGCTCAAAAAAAACGTCCCTGAAAAAAGATAGGAGGTCTGATTCATAATTTTTGTTTAAACATGATCGATAATATATTTTGTCTCAAAGAATTTAAAACATAAGAAATGTTAGATTAGTGAAAAATCTCTTTTAGAGATGAAGAATTTTTAATCTGTTCGATGAAGAGAAAGTTTTGACTTAATTATATGTCAATTATTATACTTATTGTACAACAGTATTATTTTAATGCATCATCAAAATGTATAATCAATTATTGAAGACCACAAGTTGAAAAAACAATTTTTGAATAAGTAGGAAAACGGATTAAGGTCATCGATAAACAGGTTATAATTTTACTTTTTCAAAGTGAATTTCATGTTGAATTATTATATTTTCAAATGCCCAAGAATATAAAGTTTTTTATCTAAGTAGTAAGAAAATAATAAATTACGTTTATCAATATTTCGTTACGAAAAACGGCCCTTGATAACCTTAAAATTATTGTCAGACATTTAAAAGACTTAAATACATATAATATACCATTATAGAATAGGATAAATGTGAAATGAAGTAAAATACTTCCCACATTATAGAAATCTAAAGGTTATGCAATTTTAAATAAAATAAAAGCATAGGTCAGGTCTTTATTCAATAATGAATACTTATAACTGATTCCATATGATAATTACTTAGAATCATAAAAATGGTACTATACATGTAAAACGCATTATTTGAGTTAATGAAACCCGAACCTGAAGCTCAAAGTGTTCCACCAATTCAAAGATACAGACAATCTTGTCTGTACACAGCAGTGTTTCAATCCTACGATTTAATTGTAAAAATGATGATGAAACCTCGAGCAGAATAAACATTAAAAATGTTGACATGATGAAACAAGTCAGACTTTGGATTCATGTTTGGCATATACAAACACTATTGTGTACATGTATGGTGCCGTTTTTGCGCAATTAACTTCGTTTCTTTTATAATCGGTGTTATTTAAATTTAAATTGAATGGAACAGTCACTTTTTCCGGTATATACTTAATTCACTTTTAGATATTAATACATTTTCAGTCGGTTTGGATATATTTAAAGGTAAAACGTAGAGAAACTGTATGACAAAACCTACTTAAAATTTATTCCTTGAATTTAATTTGAACTTTCAATTTACTATTCTATAATGTGTAACGTGTATTTTTACTTCCTCATAATTGTATTAGAAGAAAAATTTTGACAAAATATAAATTCGAGAATGAAACGCTATACAACATTTGATTGTACTTGAAGCGCTTTTGTAAACATTCCCGAAATTTTTAATTGAAAGATAGTAATTTTATGGTACATAAAAAATTATTTTGGACTTGACACTTTTTTTATACGACATATTACGTATGCATGTTAAACATGAAAGAAATTGATTAACTTAATAAAAATAAAGGCAAAAATACATGCAATGTGAGTTTTGGAAAACTTTGTTTCGTGCTTCGAAAAGATCTGAAAAAGAGAAAAAAAATATAAATAAATAAAAATAAACTGGCTGCTATCTTTATCTGAAACAAGTGATTAATACGTTAGAATTCTTATTGTTTTTAAAAAGTTCATGTAATATTTTAAAGCATCTTGTGTTGGCGCTAGAAAATTATCTTTCAATACCAATAATACATTTTTCTATTAATTTACAAATTCATGTAAGGTATTCTAGGAAAAAAAAATGATGATAAATAATTATAATAATTTGTACCGAAGTAATGAAAGCTATTTGGACGTTCGATTTGAAAAACTAAATGTCATGGATGGAGAAAAAAGAGAAGCAAAGGGAGTTGAAAAATAAAAAGGAGACGGTCAAATATTTTAGTGTACAGCTATGAATTAGCGTGAAAGGTTCGAGTGTGAATTTTCGGCAAGAACCGCTTACAACAAAAGGGCATAGCTAAGATATGGAAGATCGATAATTAACATGAACGACCTAATTTTACTTTTCGCATTGCCTTAAAGCGCGAGATGTAATGAAAGAAGTGTTAGCCGATTCCGATGAATAATTATACAAGTGTATTTTGTAAATGAAAACGAAATGCCTACAAAGCGATGAAAAGGGTGATTGAGTGCAGCCAAGAGAGAGAAAATGTGGGATGTAATAAATTTATTCTGCTGTGCAATCCCGACATAATAAAATTAGCAATGAATCGACGTGGAAAAAAAAAATGTGTGAGAAAGCATTATCAATGTGTCCCCAGAAGAAAAAAAAAATTCGCTCGACTATGTTGTACACATATTTATATTTAGAGTAAAAAAATGCAATGAATGTATGATATCTAATAAATGTGTTCTGCACCAAATAAATTTGACAATATTTTTTTGTGATCTCTTATGCCTCGCCTTTTTTTCAAGCTTTTTACCTATCGGAAAAAAAAAAATTGGTATTAATTCTGTACAGTATAAAATATATTCATGATTTACCGTAAAGTTGGAATTCTACAGTCATTTTAATGATGTCTACCGACAGTGTGCGGTATGTAACCAATCATCGTGCGTTGACATCGTATCACTTCCCATCGCACGTTAAAGCGAAGAGGAACTGATTTCACTACAGCTGGTAAAGCTACCGATTGAGGAAAGCGAGGGACAGCGGCAAAATTTCAATGCCTGGATTTTGCAGGGACAAAAAAAGTGTGTATCCATCGTTCAAATCGATGGGAAATGGAAATTCAGTCCTTTAAACGGCATCAGCCAAGCGAGTATCTTTCGGTCGAAATAATGAATTAAAAAAAAAAAAAANAAAAAAAAAAAAAAAAAAAAAAAAAAAAAAAAAAAAAAAAAAAAAAAAAACTGATAAATTTGAACGTTTGAATATTACAAGATTAGATGGATAGAACCCATCAGCTAACTTTCGAGGTAAAAAAAGAAAATCTTGATCCCGACAAGTACAGCAATTGGCAATTGGAAAAGCTCACTGGCAAAATAAATAGGCCGCAAGCACACGAGCTTTGCACATCCAACTTCAAGGTGGTGAGAAATGTACAGGTGAAACTGTTGAAGCGGGCAGTCGGCGTCGGTTTGTCAGCCGAATCGGTCGCTGCAGCAACAGTCGCGCGCTCTCTCTCTCTTTCATGATCCATCGCATTGTATACATATATGCACCAATGCACCTACAAACACACGAACGCGACAGTCAAATGTACGCACCTATAGAGGGAGAGAGCACCCTGGCGCGCGCGCACGCGGTTCTCTCTCTCTCTCTCTCTGTCCGTCTTTCTGACGTATATTTTTCCCCAAGCCCCCACCCCCACCCTGTGCGCGGCTGAGTTGTTGGATTTCGATTTTCCGCCGTAGTCTTTGGTTTAGTCCGTGGCGACCGTCGAGCCGAGACACTGGCGCGAGGAAGAAGCCAGAGGTGGAGCAAAAGGACCAAAACTCGTCAAAGGAGGGTGGAGGGACAAAGGGTCGAGGATTCGAGATCGCGCGGTCAAAGTGTCGTTGTCGGTAACAAGTAACGAGCATCATGGCCGACAGGATATACCTGCCGAATCCTGAGCTTGCAAAGCTCGCCCACTGCAAGAGCATGGAGCAGTACAAGCACATGCACGAAAGGTGACTATTCCCCCTTTGGCTACCGTTTTTTTATTCTTCTCTTCCTTACTTTATTCTTTTTTCCCTAAATGTGCTTGCAATCATTGATGTGTCAAGAACTAGATCGATTTAATCAAGTTTTGGGGACGCGTTTCTCGATTTGAGCGAAAAGCTACGTTGTCAGTTATATCTTTATTTTTTTTTTATTTTTTTTTTTTTTATGTAAAATCATGATCTGTCACAGTTAAAAATCTTGATGGGTCGCGCGCTCGTTTCGTCTTCTGTATCTGGCCTGTACGCAATGATGCTAATTTCATCACTAAAACATTCACGTTAAAAAAAAAAAAATACATTTCACGAGTCAAAAGTTTATTTTTCAGTGGCAAACTGTTTTCTCCTCTCATCAGCGGCAATTACTCGAGCAAATAAAATCACTGCCCCGCTGCACACCAAAATAGGTACTCGCACGCGTTTATCGATCATCGAGAAAAAACTTAGGAGTGATTGTAGCTATAGATGCTTCTTTTCGTATTTATAATCCCATGAATCAAGGATATTTCCACGGACACGTATAGAATTAATTAATTGTCAATGACTTACTTCATTCACATGCCCGTACCTTCGATTTCAAAGCAACAACTTGCAAGTTCTTATCCCAAAAAATATTGATGAGAATCGTGAATCGGCGCAAGTCATGCGATCCAGTAGTGCTGATAATGAGGAGAGCGAAAGCCAAAGCCCAATCGAACTCACGTATATGTATATATATACATGTACCCACTCGGTGATATGATGGGTATATTATTATCGTGGGGCACAATTTAAACTACGCACTCAAGTATACATATAAGTAGTAAGTAGGTACCTACACCATATACAGTACAGACGACACTGGCAATGAATGTAATACGTTCAAGCCCGATCGAGACGTCTGGTTTTACCAGAAATTCCCTCCTCCTCGATTTATTGTTGATATTGGTATGTTAATGCGACAAGGTACGTACGTACCTACAATACGCTAATGAACGGTGCCGTGGGAAAGGAAGCCGTGACCACTTACGATGACATATGTGTGTATTGTATACTTGAAAGTGTAGTGTGTCGTTAAAACGCACCTTGACACGTACGTATTTTCTTTTTTCTTCTTTTTTTTCCTTTTTCGCCTCGAGAAAACAAAAATTTTCCTATCGCTGCCAGCAATCGATGACTGGTGGAAAATCATGTGCAAGCAAGAGTAATGGTTGTTGTCGCAAGCTCTCCCTTATACACACAGCCACTGTATCATAATACAGTGAATATTCACGTGTGTTGTATGGCGCGCATGTGTGGGTACAATTACATTGATGCGGGGATACGAAAATAGCGAAAGGCTCGTGCATGTGTATATAGATCCGCCCACGTCGGGCCTATCGATTCTCTCCTGCTCCTCCTTGCGGCAACGCTGCAGCCCTTGAGAGCGCGGCACCTTTTTTCCACCTGCTGTCCGTTGTAACTCTACTGTTATATATACATACTTACATACTTGCTCATACTCGACCCGACGGTGCAACTGTTTCTTATTTATACCCTAGTTTCTTGTAGACCTACTGATTTTTCATTTCTATTCAAAGACCAATAAATTATTGCTCTAGTTAATCAACTACTCGGTTTCATACGCGGTTTTCCATTTCACGGGCATTTCTTCCGATTTTTACATACGATTTTAAGACTACAATTATGCACAATAGCAAACAAAAAAAAAAAAAAAAATCTACGATAGTCCTTGTCATGTAGGCTTTGACTAAACAATTTTGCAATAATTATTTTTTTTTTTTTTTTAGACTTTATGTAGTTAATTCCGATTGACAATAGGTATATTTTTCGGTGTTTTCAGGTCCATAAACCACCCCGCACAGTTTTGGGGCGAAATAGCCAAGGAATTTTATTGGGAAACGCACTCGAGTGAGGACAAATTCTTTTCCTACAATTTCGATCTCAACGCGGGTGACATTTACATCAAGTGGATGGAGGGAGCCTCGACGAACTTGAGCTTTAATCTGCTCGACAAAAATGTCAAGAACGGAAAGGGCGACCAAATAGCTTTCTACTGGTAATTATGACCATTTTACTCGTAGGTCGCTGCAGCCTGCATTGTTAAAAAAAAATAATAAATATCAATCATCAATGCGTAGACGCAATCATGTTATTGCCAAAAAATTGCTACATCGATCCACGTGCTCATTTTTTTTACGTGAACCCAGCTCATACGGTTGATTGGATCTTGGTTTTTTAAAAGGCACATTTATTGGGCCATTTCTTTATTCACGTGCATAATATAACGCGCCGACCATGTTAGGAGTTAAAAAATTTTGTGTTTCTTAAACAATGAGTATAAGCGTAAAACAGACACGAGAGATCTTAACTTTTATCGAAGGCACCATGAAAGTCTACTCTAAATAGAACGAGTTTCTTGTAACAGGTGATTTTTTTTTCTCGGTAGCGATAAAGTCAAATAAAAAGAAATTAATTAATAAATTTAGTATCGTGTAATATTTTATAATAGTAAGTAATCACGTGCATTTCATTCCAACTCGACACGTGACATTTTTACGTATTGTGCCTGAGCCTGTCGGAATCCTGGTAAAAACACACGGTGAATTCGGGTCAAACAAATAATTTTAAATTAATGTTGATTTGACACTAACTTGACGATCCAATAATGCTAAGTATTGATCGAACGATAATTTCTCATTTACTCTATATAAATGCGAAAAATCATTTGCAGTACGAATTATAATGTGACATAATCAAAAGGGGAAAAATTACTGCAAAACCAAGTTTGTCATAACAAACGTATTGAAAAATTTAAATTTTATCAAAGTCAAATTTAGTGTTAGACTTCCTACATTACCTGATCAACCTTCTCAAAAGTCGCGTATCGCGTGAATAGTCAAACTGACAGTAGACGACGTGCACTTTCCTTGCGTGTGTATATATTTAGCATACATTACTTGAGTAGCAAAAGTAAATTTGTTTACAGTTGCGCTGATCTAACTTGAAATACGTAATAAGAACGTATTCCAATGCTGTAGCTTCTCTTAGACATACTATATACTTGCATTTTCATAACTGATTCTCAGATGTAGCGAAAATGGCACAGCAGCTTTTATTTTCGAAAAAACTTCCCAATCGCGCAACTCTAAAGCGCTAATTTATTATTTGTAACATTGGGGAGGTACTCGATGATGACAAAAATTTCACATGATTGAGTCTAGGGAACGAAAACAAAAGTCACAGTAGGTATTAGCTTATTTGATCAGTTATGTACATATCATGCAACGCTCGACGATCGAATGCATACATAAATAACAAATATGCGATGCTTTGCAATTTTCAAATCCGTGGCTTTGAAAGTAATACTGGTATCATCGCGCGTACCAATGTAATGATACCGATAAAACGACGCAACAGTCACTATTAGGTGGTTTTTTGGTCACCAAATTATGCCTAAGCTCAAATCAAAAATTGATTAGAAAAAAAGAAAAAAAAAAAACGCAATGGCTAATGAAAAGATCCGCTTCCGCTTGAAAGATCCGGTCGCATTTGATTTGTAGGTAGAAACATGCTAGCTGCAGTGACATCACGTCTATATAGGTATACGATAAAATTTTCTCTCGCGTCTCCGTAAAGCCACTGACCGACGCGCTCATTGCTAATGCGAATGTCATTATCGATGCTCCTATATAATATATATGCCTTGCTCTGCCGTCAATGTATAGACGCAAGTCATTCGCACGCTCTTACGCCTTTGCCGATTTTCGGCCTTTTTACAGCACCATGACTCTTTTCCCCCATTGACGAGGCCAAAAAGAGAAAAGAAAAAGGTGTAGCCGATGCAGAGGCCTTTCGTCCCTTTTGACTTTTGAGATTTTTAGAGTTTTCATCTCGAGGACAAGCTGATTTTACATACATGCAAAGTCAACAAAAATGGACAATTCTCACGTCCTACTAACATACATTTAACGTAAAGAATTTCCATGTATATACATGTGTACACCCGGTTGATTCGAAAAATGTCACTTCTCGACGGTCTAACTCGCGTACAATGTATATATGTAGGTAGGCATGTATAAGGTATGCACGTAATATGGAACCTTATATTATACCTACGTCGGTGAAATTCATTAAACTCTTGAACGAAGCAGTTTGCGCTTTAAATTTCAAATGCCCGTAACTTCATTAAACATTTTTACTTTATCGGCAGTTTTCACTGTAGGTACCAATACTTGGCTACACATACTTTGCAATACGCTCTTGTGCAATTATATATTTTGCTGCTAATATTTAAAACAAAAAAATGACGATTTATTGTTAATTTTAACTTTTAAATTGTTATCTCAAGGAAACTATTCATTTATTCGCGTGTACGCATTAAATGGTCATTTATGAGCACGTTAAATTTTTTATTTGTATTCTATACTGGACTACTTGACCCACGTGATGTATATGAATTTTACGTAGTTCCTATATACCTATAGATATAAAGGTGTATGCAGTAAAACTGAATGACGGACGGGTCGAGCGGGTATTGGCCGGCATCTCATGGCGCGATGTCTCGCGTGACGAGTGAGGATGTAGGTATGCCTCTAAGCACATCGCCGCACGTGTTGTTTTCGTGGCATTCCTGTACATCTATATACTTACTTACCTAATATAAGTGGTACCAAAATGTTTGATTCCATGCATATTATACATATATATTGCATAATTTAATCAGACAGTAATCCTGAATATAGTAACGTAATTTAGGTTGTCGGTATACGAAGATAATATGAATAAAATTCGCTGCGCTTCGCAGACGTATACTAGTGAATAATTTATACATGGACTTTCCGAGGATCGTAAAATGAAAATATCACAGTCGTACAGTCCGTCTTAATACGAGAAAAGTCTATTTTTTTTTCATTTCTGATAATCGAAAAAGTTGAGAGTAAACACATTTTACTAAAATGCAGCATCGACAGCTTGACTATTTTTAAAATAAAATTGTTTTTCTCGATGACCACAATGTTTAAAACTGACTTTGATCTTATCTCGAGTCATAAGATTTCTTCCTCCAGCTTTTTAAGACACTTCATTTTTACACTGCACAATTCGTGATTCGACTGATATTATAATTATAAACAATGTACGTATCTTCCGAGAGAGACAGAGGAAAAAACGTGATGATGAACGAAAAAGTCCAAAACTTTCCTGTACACGTATACATACTAATTAATATAATAGTTATTATGCAGAGAAAACAATTTTAATTGAAAATTAGTGAAGAAATTTATTTAATGATCATATTAGTACAAATTTTCAAAATTGCTTAAGTAAGAAGTTTTTTTATCTGTCATATCATTATACTGCAATTTAAAAAACATTTGTACGAGGATTTTCAAGAACGCAGCATGACAATTAAATTAAAATCAGATGATACAGACAAATGTATATGTCAGTACATAATATTTTTTAGAGAAAAGAAAAAAAACATATTTTTGATCTAATAAATATTTCACTCTAAACAAATGAATGTTGAATTGTACCTGTTGGTGTACTACATTTGCCCCATTTTTACTTTTCTAATGTAACATCGTAATCCAACTATTCGCCTGCAATAATAAGTTATACTCTGCCGGTCTGATTTGATTTTTAATCAAAGCAATAGAAAATTATAAAATCTCATTTCCTGCATTGTACAGAGATGACGATACACACATCTTCCGGGATGAACATGTAGCTGAGGAAAGCAAGAAAAGCAATGAATCCGTAAGGAAACTATATAATTGACCGAACACAGCGAGATGGCCAAGCAAAAATGACGGTCAAGGTCGGGGTCGGAGCTCGGGAGCCTCGGTGTGCAGCTAGTATGAGAAATATAGGAACAGAAGCAAACGGGGGGGCGGGGGGGGGTAGGCTCGCTTTTCCGTCAAGGTTCTCTCCGTATAAGTATGCGCTGATGATGTTCGGATGTATATGGACCTACGTTAGGTTTATACGTACTTGGTTCGGGTGATCATTGCACATTTTTCGTAGATTCAAGTGACAAAAATGACAATTTTTCCACTTTCCGTACAATGAGATGGTGCTGGAAAATTTTTTTCAGCGCTTGCGAAATATTGTTGTTTCAACGCCAAACTCTCAACTTTGAGAGAAATGTGAATCTTGATCAGTAACATATAGGGATCGAAATATTTTTACTCATCAGCGATATACGCCAACATGTACCTCCTATACGTGTATGACATACTTAAAAATTTCTCAAGTTGTCGAAGCGATTATCTAAAGTGTCGATATAGCTCCAAACGATGGCGGCTTATCTATATCTCGTGCAACGTGGGAATACAATGTACGAAAGACCCGTTTGTCAATTATCACAGAAATATATCGAAACGAGTAATGCATACGATGAATAACTTGCGTAGTTTTTCAACGGTGGCGTTGTAAGACAAAACTATTGGAGGAAAAACGCGTGCACTTGGACGCGATATAAAACCAGTCAATGACTTTGAAATTTACTTAAATAACACGATTACATGTATTGTATTGAAAACTATAGACGCAGGCGAGTCTTATCTGTTATGCTGTCATACGCGTTAACAGCCGAGTCAGCCGATGCAACAGCTGATGGTGGCGTCTATATAGGGGCTCCGCTGCGCCAACTGTGGACGAAAAGAAGCGCAGCCGCGAGAGCCGATAAGAGACGGCTTCGTTCGTGAGATAACATCGTCTGATTTTACATGCACTAACTGGTGACATGGGGAAAAAAAAAAAAAAAAAAAAAAAAGAACAAGCGAGTTGTTGAAAATTTAATGTCACCGCTCACCCTCCCAAGAGCGGGTGCTCTGTTCCGCGGAGCTGTTGTCTGTATCGATGGTCCCTATACCGATGCGCGCAAATTAGCGGCCAAAGGCAATCACCGGCAGGTAGGGATCATTAAGCTTTCATGACGTATGGTTGTTGCACTCGTATAATTTTTTCCCCGTATGTGTACATTATGCAAATGGAAAAACGTACTACAAAGCGACGAACAAGTGCATACGTATATAATATGATTATGTGTACATGTGGACGCGTGTCACAATAGACGTACTCAAATGTAGCTCGTTTGTAAAAAGGGTAGCTTTTAATAAGGAGGGAGAAGTAAAGAAAATATAATTTTTTTGGAGGGAATCGAAAAACATGAAAACATGATGCAGGTATTTTTTCACGTAAAGTAGAACTCGTCCAAGTTTCGATTGACGTCACTTCATGATTTAACGAATTAATTTAAAATGCATATACCTGCACCTTTGTTTACGACGTCACTTTTTTAACCAAGAACAAGGCTTTTATATTCGTAAATATGTCTCCAATGTTATTTGATGATGTAATACACAACGGATTGAATTCATTTTTTTCGGTACTATTTAGATCCGTTCGTTAATTTTTTAATGTATAGGAAAAAAAAAAAAAAAAAAAAAATGATATATTTAAGATGCGCTACTGCACGTCATGGCATTGTAAAGATGGCTTTCGGCTGCACTAATAACCTATAGTAGCGCACGTAGTAGGTGCAGAGCGAGCGAATGGGTCGGTGGGATGATTAAACAGTATGAAAATACGTTTGCAACGCAACTTGACTTTTGACACTTACGTCGCGGTGTTACGCGAACGTCTGGAATTTTAAAAGCCCCGTCTTTGATTTTGCCTGTGCCCGTTGACTGATAAGCACTCACATAGGTAGATAGGGAAGTACAACTGAAGAAACAAGATATTCACCATGAGACCCGAATACAAAAAATACAATGCTTTACTTTCTTTCCTACGTACACATACACAGTAAACTCAACTGCGTTAAAGTACAAAATTCAAGATGTATAATGAAATCCACTTGGGTACAGCGCTAAAGTGGGCATTTTAAAAACATGAAACCTCCCCTCCTCCAATGAACAACAATGGTAACTAACTCTTGTGATAAAAAATGTCCACACTCTTCCCGTGGTACATAGAACGAAATCTATACTGCGATAGTTTTTTTTTTTCATTTCATTTTTTTCGTGTATAAATTATTATTTGATTCGATAAAACTACAGCAAAACAGGGGGGGGGGACTGTAGATACATTTGATTAATAACTTCCTGGACTTGTTTTTGGTGCAACAACTTGACTCTGTACCTCCGAGTTGATCGATGCAACGTGCTTGGTTTATATTTATATGTCGGATAGTTGAGTAACGCAATAACGATGTTAACGACAATTTAACCGTAGGGAAGGAAACGACCCGGACGACTACTCGCGCATCACGTACCGCAAGCTCCTGCAGGAGGTGTGCCGTTTCGCCAACGTGCTCAAGTCCAAGGGGGTGCAAAAGGGCGACCGCGTGGCCATCTACATGCCGATGATCATGGAGCTGCCCATAGCGATGCTCGCATGCACGAGGATCGGCGCCGTCCACAGCGTCGTGGTTGGTACACCTGTATACTCACGTAATATATGTACCTACGCTGATTCGGCCGATTTCGATGAAATATAAGGGCTCGCTGTACTATCTGCACTCTCTAATTTTTTTTTTTTTTTTTTCCTCATGCCAATGCGCGCTCGTTAGAGATCGGTTGATACACGAGTGTGCTTGATGAAAATAAAGCAGCTCAGTGGCAGTGATTTAGCAAAGCGAAATTAAAACAAGAGTGAATGAATGAAAAAAAAAAAAAATGAAATAAAATACAAATGCCTTCAGTTTGCGGGTTACTCGGCGGACTCGCTGGCGGAGCGAATGTCCGACTCGAAGGCCAAGCTCCTGATCACGGCGGACGGGGTCTGGCGGGGCGAGAAGCTGCTCCTGCTCAAGTCCATCTGCGACGAGGCGCTCGAGAAGGTCAAGAGCCACGGCCACGAGGTCGAGTGTTGCGTCGTCGTGTCCCACCTCAGGCGGCTCTCCTCGCCCCAGGGGAACAACTCCTCCGCGGGTAACGTAAATAATACATGCAAACCCTTTCGATGAATATATTTTACAACAACAAAAAAAACTAAATCCATATAGTGTACATTATCATCGCCAACCAATGTATATATATATTTAATCAGCTCAAATGTAAATCTGCTACTGTCTTTTATCGTGGTAATTATTTAAGAGAAAAATCGTTGATGATTATCATATAACATATAATTGTTGATCTGGAATTTCCCGCGCAATGAAACTAGTATTGAGCTGTAAATTTAACGAAAGCGATAATGTGTGATTGTCAGGTCACGCGAATGGGGCGGCAAACGGGAACTCGAATGGGGACGCCGCCCAGATACCCTGGGACGACGACAGGGACGTCTGGTGGCACGACGAGATGGAGGACGCCGAGCCGAGCTGTTACCCGGTGTGGATGGCCGCGGAGGATCCCCTCTTCGTCCTCTACACGAGGCAAGCGACGTTCACAATAATCATCCCCAAGTCATTAATCGGGCATAACGATAATTATAAATGATATTCTTGCAGCGGCTCGACGGGCAAGCCAAAGGGGGTGCTGCACACGACCGCCGGTTACCTCATCTACGCGGCAACGACCTTCAAATACGTCTTTGACTACCACCCTGGGGACGTTTACTGGTGCACCGCCGACATTGGCTGGATCACCGGGCACACCTACGTGGTGTACGGGCCGCTCGCCAACGGCGCCACATCCGTACTGGTGAGTTGGCGTTTTACCATTGCTTATAATATACTCAAGACAATCCAATGACTATAACCACAGAGCTGTTGTAACTTTTTTCTTTTCTTTTCATCCCCCAGTTCGAGGGGACTCCGTTCCATCCGGCGAACGACAGGTACTGGTCGGTGGTCGACAAGTACAGGGTGACGCAGTTTTACACGGCCCCCACAGCCATCAGGTCTCTGATGAAGTTTGGCGACGAAAACGTCAAAAAGCACGATCTGACCAGTCTCAGGGTATTTGTAGTGTTTACTCGCTTTTTGTTTTTTTTCTTCCTCGCAGACGCGTATAATTTATTTGTCTCTCGTGCGTCCAGGTTCTAGGCTCGGTGGGCGAGCCGATCAACTCGGAGGCCTGGCTGTGGTTCTACAACCTCGTGGGCCACGGCAAGTGCAGCATCGCCGACACCTTCTGGCAAACCGAGACCGGCGGCCACGTGATCACACCCCTGCCCGGAGCGACACCCATGAAGCCCGGATCAGCCGTGAGTTTTGCAGCTGAAATAAACAAAAATTTAATAAAATACCACACGACGTACCGAAATCGGGGTGAATCGATAAACGGCAAACCGCTGGCGCGCGGCCAACTGTACTAGGCTCTGGTTCGTGTACGAAATGTCGCACTCGTTTACGCGTGTAATTTGTAACGCGTTTGTTTTCGAAACTTATACTCTGCCTTATTTTCAAATCTGCTTGATTCTTGATTACCACTTTGTTGGTATACGATGAAGTACATGAACTCGAGAGAGAAAAATCGATTTCATCCCGAGGAAAAAGTTGAACGCGAGCCAAACGCCAAATTTAATGGGAGCACGGGGTACATATAGCACGAATATCCCTCGAATCGGAAGAAAACGAGTACGGTCGCATTGCCCGCGTAAAATACGTATGCATATGTACGCAGTGCAGGTAATGTAATGTCTCCTGTTAATGCGCGCAGACGTTCCCGTTCTTTGGGGTGCAGCCAGAGCTGTTGGACGAGGATGGCCACGTGATCGAGGGCGAGGGCGAGGGTTACCTGGTCTTCCGCAGGCCCTGGCCCGGCATGATGCGCACACTATACGGCAACCACGAGCGCTTCCAGACCACCTACTTTGACCGGTTTCACGGCTTCTACTGCACGGGTGACGGTGAGTTTTACTAGTTTTTTTATTTTTTATTTTTCCCCTTTTCTCCATGTAGGAAAAACTTTGCGTGACGGTCGGACAATGACGTTTTACTGAAAAAGTACATAAAGCATCCGAGTTGCCAATAAATGGTCGCGATGCAAGTGTATCTCCGTATTTTATAAAATTAATCAAAAGGTATTAATTGAAGGAAATAAATAAATAAAAAACAATCCAAAGTACCAGGAGTATATATTGCGCGGTTAAATGCCTGTACCATGATGATAATAATTCGAGGGCACTACGCAGCGGCGAAGGGGCCGCGGAACTTGTCGCCGACGTAACAGGCCTGCTGTCCGAGTTCCTCCTCGATCCTCAGGATCTGGTTGTACTTGGCGACTGCCTCGCTACGGCAGGGCGCCCCGGCTTTGAACTGGACGGCCGAGACGCCCACCGCAAAGTCCGCCGCGAAGGTGTCCTCGGTCTCCCCCTGACCTACATATACGTACACACGTAACACATTGCATTGGAGGGTGGATGAGCACAGTGGCGCCCGTTGATCCAACTGGGGGGGGTTGCAGCAGAAAAACCAAACATTGATACCAGATTACGCCTTGATGGAATTCGTATATGGATTGATTTTTGTGATGCAACCCCCTTTTGATACACGTGAAAAAACAAATGACCCGCGCTGACGGCGACGCCCCAGCCGGCTGCCCGAGCCGCCTTGACGCAGTCAATAGCCCCGGTGACCGTGCCAACTTGGCCGAGCTTGACGAGCAGGCAGTTGGCCGCTTGCCTCTCGACGGCCTCCTCCAGCCTCTCGGGGTTCGTGGCGACGAGCTCGCCCGCGACTACCTGCAGCTCCGGTGCCTGGCTGACCAGCCCCGCCCAACTGTCCCAGTCCTCCTGGTCGAAGGGATCCTCGATCGAGACCAGAGCCGGCACCTGGCCCACCAGCTCCGCGTACTGCTCCCTCAGGGCGTCCGGCTCCAGGTAGTCCTCCGGGTCGGACTCGTCCGTCTTGAACTCCATGTCGTACATACCTTCACGCCCCGCGAACCACAACGTTACTCCACATACACGCGATACACATTCGGTCGGGTGGAACGAACCGTCTTTGCAAAAAGCCGTGGCGCAGGGGTTTATCCCGATCGAGACTTTGCCGTCGTAGCCGGCGCTGCTGATGGCCGCGTCTATCGTCACGAGGGCCTCCGCGTCGTCCTCCAACTCGGGGGCAAAGCCACCGGTGTCCACGATACCAAGGGGTACCTTAAGCTCCTGCATCTCCGCGAGCTGGCGCTCGAGCGCGCGATACACCTCCGTGCCCATCCTCATGGCCTCGGCGAAGCTCTGGGCGCCTTGGAACATTTTGCAAAAAATAACTCGTACATCTTCCCCCCCCCCTCCTCCTACATTTCTTTGCAATATGCCTGTAAGGATGCTTCGACGCACCGGTGGGTAAAATGAGAAATTCCTGGTAGACGAGGTTGTTTCCCGCGGCGCGTCCCCCGCTCGTTACGTTGAACACCGGCACTGGCACGCACACCTCGTTGTTATCGCACAGGCTCGCTATGTACCTATATTTATAGTATATATACATATAATTACATTATTACGTTATTTCGTTGAAATGCTCACTTTTATGCGCGAGTGTGTATAATATAAAAATAGTACCTGTAGAGGGGCAGGCCCCTCTTGGCCGCCGAGGCCTTGCAGCAGGCCATGGACACCCCGAGGATCGCGTTCACCCCGAGCTTCGACTTGTCGGGCGTCCCGTCGAGGTTTTGAAGGAGCAAGTCGATCTCCCGCTGCTGGTTCACGCACAACTTTGACTTTAACAGCTCGGGGGCGATCACGTTGTTTATCGTTTCCACGACTGATACAATTAAACGAAATAACGCAACGTAGTTTTTCATGAATTGTTCGCTTAATGAGAAGTGGTTTTTTTTTTTTGTTTTTTTTTTTCGCGTGATGAAAATTCCACGCGATCCTGCAAGTAAATTCTCGCTCTTCCACGGTGCATGTCGCTAAAAGATGAAGTTTGAACACGGGGAGATAAGTGTGTGTGTGTGTGTAGACGTAGCAAAGGTCAAAACGGGGGAGGAGGGCCCATCGGGCGATCGGTTGGGGTATACATATGTGTAAGTATACCAATGAGCGAGGCAAGAGAGAGAAAAAAGGCCTCACCTTTGAAAACCGAGCGTCCGCCGTACGCGGCCTCGTCGCCGTCCCGAACTTCCTTGGCCTCGTTCTCGCAGGGAAAGACGGCGCTGGGCACACTACTGCGCAGCAAACCGATCTCCGTCACGAGATCTACCTCGACCGTCGGCACGCCCCGCGCGTCCAGGATCTGACGGGCCTTCAGCTTACGGATCGACATTTCGTATATATATACACCAATGTTTTGTTCCTCGACTACTAAGAATTTTGATACAAATATCTCGGGTTTAAAGGTAAAGGTTACGACGCGCGCCCTGAAGTTTGCGCACGAGCGTGTGTGGTGTACCTATGCGAGAGATGTAGGTATCAAGGTAGTTAAATGTGTTGTTGACATTTGAATATCGTATATGGTGTTCGGTGCACAGGTGCACGGCGGGACAAGGACGGCTACCTGTGGGTGACGGGCCGCATAGACGACATGCTGAACGTGTCGGGCCACCTGATGTCCACCGCCGAGGTCGAGAGCGTGCTCGCCGAGCACTCGTCGGTCGCCGAGGCGGCGGTAGTCAGCAAGCCCCACCCGGTGAAGGGCCAGTGCCTCTACTGCTTCGTCACCCCCAACGAGGGCAAGCCCTTCGACAAGAAACTACAGGACGAGCTCAAGAAGAAGGGTGAGCCCATCGTCATTACTTACCATTGATATTAATATCATTGCACGAAAAGATGAACAATAATACGTGTGGGTTTTAGTTCGCGAGAGGATCGGGCCGTTCGCCCAGCCGGACGTGATCCAGCATGCCCCGGGCCTTCCGAAGACCCGCTCGGGCAAGATAATGCGGCGAGTGCTCCGGAAAATCGCCACCGGGGACAGGAACGTCGGCGACACCTCGACGCTGGCGGACGAGGCGGTCGTCGAGCTGCTCTTCTCCCTCAGGCCACAGCAGGTCTAAGACTCGTTTCTACTGTCGTTGTACACCCGGGACTCGTTACGGGGGACTAGCCGTTGTTGTTGTCATGTTGTTGCTGCTGTTGATGTCGCTCGCGTAGTATATAATCCTCAAACAGGTGTAAACCTTCCAACTTTTAACCATTCAACTGTATGAATGGTATTTTCTTGTTTGCGAAATTGCTCGACCCCTCGCCTCGTTTTTTTTTTTTTTTTTCTTTTCTTTCCTCGCAGGTGCTCTTGACTCGGTTGTGCACGAGATGATCACGATAATTCGTCGTGGATTGGATAAACTTTGTTCGAGTTCTCATTTGCGAGTTCGGGAAACGCGAGCGATCGAGGACGAATGGGGGAAAAAAAATAAAATAGGTCGAGTGTTGATCGAAGTCGTCTCCCCTCTCGTTGGAAATTAAGTAGAGTAGGCAGGACGCGATGGAAAATCAATCGTTAAATAGTTACTGCCGCGATTCTGCACTTGCGAAAAAAAAGAGACAGAGCCCTCCGTGTTGTACGTAGGAATTTGTAATGTCTCATTGGTTGTTTTTTTTTTTTTTTTTTGTTTTTTTTTTTTAACGTTTATCTCTTACACATATTGTATCGTAAAAGTTTTTACGGCAAAACCATACAATGAGGCATCGCAACGTCAATTAAAAAATTAAACGATAATTTTGAAGTACATGGACAACCTTATTTTGTATTTCTACCTCGGGTCGCATTTTTATAAAACATCAAATTGTATTTCACCGATTTCAAATGACCGTGTATTCGATATTACAACTACAATCACAATCCTACGTAGGTACATATTTCATGGAAAGACTACTGCACGTGCTTTATTGATGTATCCTTGTACACCTACATTGTATTGCGATGAAGCAGAGTAACGTTGCACGCCTTTGAAACGAATTTTAAAAAGTAAGAAATGTTGGAAAAAAAAAAAGAAAAAAAAATTAGCAACACGTCCTTGGCACATTGACAAAATACCGCGTGCACGGCTTTGTTATACATAATATATGATATTACTTACTAGCGCGCACACACCGATCGCACCGATCGTACAGTCTCAAGAGATATACATATACATATAATATTTACATACTTAAGCATAATGCCATAAATATATATATATATATATATATTGTATACTATACAGTATGGAGGAGAAATATGTTGAATGTACGAGAAGAAAGATAATTTGTTCGAGGGAAAGTCGAATGGCGAAAGTATAATATTTAAGTGTACGTGTGTTTTCATCGTCGGGCACAACGACTGCGTGAATTTTCGACATCGCGATTTCTCGCGAAAAGTAAAACAAATGCGAATTATCTGTAGATCGATATTTTTTTTATATCATTATTCAACAACCTCATTATTGTAATTTTTTATTATTATTATTATTAGAGCGGAAATTGCACAGTGTACAGTTTCTACATAGTTTAAAATTAGCGCTTTTACATAATGCTTATTCGTTTATAAATTCATTCATTCGTTTTTGCATTTAATCAAAATATATGTACACACAATGTATACTTGTATGCACGTATATTTTTTTAAGGGATATTGACTTTACGCTCGCACACGAGAAGGAAAGAAAAAGCCTATAGTTGTAAAAACGTACAAGAGAAAAAAAACAGCTGATCCTGCTGGTTGTACAAGATTTCCTGCACACATGATCATGTACCTATGCACGTGCGATTTTTATGACGCGCACATGCGACACGATATTATATATATATATGAGTTATGATCTGGAATCAACTGATGTATATTTTAATAAAAAATAATATAGATGTATAAGGGCGTTGAAAGTAATAGAGAAAGTAATAATATAGTTGTAAGCACAAGTTTTGCAAAAGAGATACAGCGGAACATACAATAATAACAATAATGTTGTTATCGATGGAAAAGCAACAAAACAGAATTAAAGCAATGTTCCGATCGTCGTGTACAGATTTTTGTGAATTTACGCGAATAATCGAACTGTTGATGAAAGTCTGTCATGTGATGTAATACACGTGTATGTATATTTAAATTACCGTTCGAATATACTGTGAGCGTGTATTATGTATAAAGAGTACGTATTTTCCAGGTAAAAAGTCTGCTTGTTCGAAGTTAAAATGAAAAGAAAAAAAAAAAAAAAAAAAAAAAAAAGAAAAACCTGTTTACCCATCAGAGTGACGCATGACCCCAAATGTAAAGTCAATGTAGTGTTTTTCGATGCACTTTAATGAAACGCAGAAAACACGTATCCACACTTTAGTCCACCGCCACGACTAATCAAGATGAATAATGATGAAAATTTATTCTCATTTCCAGCGCACCAAATCGATTCTTATTAATGTGCTTTGAAAATTCTTAACGCAGTCCTGCCTCTCGGATTATTGTTGTATATATATATTGTTGAAAAACAATTCAAATACGAATTTTAAATGCTGCGTCAAGTATTTTTTTGAAACGTGTATTGAAAAACAAGGTTTTGGAGTAAACGAAAAAAATGAGCATAAAAAGAGAAATTTACTTCCATACATGTTGGAACTGTAATGACTATTTATAGGATAGTAAGAAAAAAAAAAAAAAAATATAGATGATAAAGAAAATATATACATATATATGACCTATACGTTGCATAAGCGCGGGCGCACATGAAAAATGAAGAGAAAATAATACTTATCGCGTTGAGATAATTTCTCCGTTGCCCGATGTTTATACGGGAGATGCATCGATGCGAGGATTATTCAAATTAAAATACAGTAAATATATACTTAAATATATACATAGCGTAAAAGAGTAAGTCTACTTGTATCGACTTGCAGAAAAACTGATGATTGATATAAACTGTAAGAGGACACGTCCTAACAATCCACGAAGCCTCTGCAGCCTCGAGGCTTCGTTACATACATATCATTATGTGCGCGGAACAAAACTAAATCTAGGTGTGATATACATATACACATACGTATATTAAAAAAAAAAAAAAAAATCCCATATGCTTATACATATACATGTAAGTGGAGAAATAAATATATTTATCGTTATGTTAAACACCAACCGTTTATGCATTCGGTATTTGTTTTTTCATCGCCAAAGGGCCTATACCCTACTTACCTGTGCTTTCAAATACATCTAAAATAATTTAGGTCCACAAGCGTTAGACGCATAATATATCGTAGGCTCGATCGTAACTATGACAAACAAACAGCGTTTATCCGATTTTTATGCTCAATCCGGTATCTAATCGCAATTTTGCACAACATACACAATCCTCTTTTGCGCGCAAACAGCGTATACGTATAGGTATGTTTAATTTATATCATAATTATTTGTGTTCTTATTATTTCCTGAACTAGTTGACAAAAAATCTTCCGACCTCATGATGTATGCGTGGAGCCAACTTTTGGACCAATGATGAAACGAAGAGGGAAAAGTTCGAGCATAATCAATAAATTGCATAACATGTATAGTCACAAAATATAAAGTACAATATTCGTTGAATCAGCATGAATTAACATCAATGATATACATATATGCCCAAGGTAAGTATACGTATAATATATACACCTATACCGGACAAACGTAACGATCGATCAAAAGAAGCATCATCGCCACCATGTAACTTATTACGATTCCCACGCCCGACCGGATCATGTATACATATACAGGTAGTATACCAGATACAAAATACCGATAAGACGAAGAAAGCAAGAGTATAGGGCACTCGAGAGCTTCCCACCCACGCACACACATACAAACAGAGGGAGAGAGAGTAGTGGTGGTATATGTAATAAATATGCGCGCGGCGAGGAGTTCTGAGAGTTCAGTCGAGCTCGCGTTATCGACGCGCACAATCGCCGCAGCTCCGACGTCCTTGGCTGATGTCACTCATTTGGCGAGTTGCCCGCGTCGCGTTGGTCGGTACCGTTGTTGGCGGAGGTGAATAGGAAAACAAACAGAAATAAGAGTATTAGCACCTGTATACCTACTTGGCAGGCCTGCGCTGCTGGGTGCTTTTCTTTTTTCTGACCCTGAGAGATCCATAAGAGAGAGACCGAGAGGATGTCGGAACTCCTCGACCAGTACTACGAGCTCGTGCTCGAACTCGTCAAGGAAGCCGGCGGTGTAAGTATATTTATAACATACATGGGCTCGATTGATTTGCCGATTTTTTTTTTTTTTTTTTTTTCAACAATCAACGGATGCGCTTTCGTCATTTCGTATAAACCCCGTGTAGCTCCAGTTGGCAATTGCTATTTTGCTACACTTGCATCGTGTTGATCCCTCGTGGTTAAATTTATGTCCCCGTCGGTTGACACGCGCAATATTTATGGAGTGGAGGCTATTGTCAACAAGTGCATGGCAACGCAACGGCTTCAAAATCAGCTGCAATGTGTGAAATATGTTAGAAAAATGATGATTCGACGAAGCTTACAGCGAAGGTCAGAATCAGCTAAAAAAAGAAACGCGGAACTCTTCGGTCTGACGTGTGCGGATATTTTAGCGCTTTTTCTCCGTACGTGCCGAATGTAAATGTACAGCATACATGCTCGGGTGAATTTTTACATTTCGCGCTTTTTTTGACCTTTGGTTTCTCACCTCCTGCCGACCGGTGGGCCCACAATTTTAAGGTGTTTTTCCTACCTTGGACGTTTGCTGCGCCTCTACGCTCAGCGAAAAAGGTGCAATATATTATATACTTAGCTCCTTGTGTTTGCAGGTTGCATTCGCGATGCGGCCTCGAAAGACGTGTAAAGAAAATACGGTATTACAAAAGACGCGTATGTACCGGGTTATTGAAAAACGAACGAATGCGCGCGCGCGAGCTATCGATTATTCGCTTGCGAAAGAGAAAGAAAGAAGGTGAGGCAAAGAGGCTTAAGTATAATATACATCACCTTTAATATATATAAATATGCGCTGTGTGATGTATCGACTTGCAGGGTATAGGTATATACTGTAAGTTGTCTGTCCGACACGTGCGGAAACTCATGCAGTGCATTGCGTGAGTCAATTACTCTAGAGAATGAAAAAGAAAAAAAGGAAAATAGAAAACATAAAAGCGATATGGAAGACTCGAGTGGCATTGATGATGGTTTTTTTTTTTTTTTTTCACTTTTGCAGCTTATCAAGGAAAACATTTCAAGGCAAAAGACAATAATGACCAAGTCTTGCGAGGTCGATCTCGTCACAGAAACAGATCAGCTGGTCGAGAAGCTCTTTATGACGAAAATCTCCGCCAGATATCCGGAACACAAGTAAACAGTTGCCATGAAACTTTACACATGCAAAACCGATAAAAGAAACGAATTGAGATCTCACATATAGTAACACATCGTTGAAATGTGATGATTGGCAGAAGAGGGGCTCGCTCGGCTGAGGGTCATCATGTATAGCTAAATAAGTTTAATTTAACAAACGAAAGCTAGCGTGTACACGCAAGGCTTAGGGTAAGAGTCGCTTGTGGAATATTCCACTTTAAAGAGATGGACGATTCGATTCGACGGATCGATTTCTAATTTTTTTTTTTTTTTTTTTTTTTTTTTGATAACTATTATTTTCACCAAAAATATAGTTAATAATTGAAGGATGAGAAAAGATAATTAATCTTGGACAAAGGAATGCAACGATCGCGAACCAATTCGTTTCTTTTATCGGGACAAAGTATGATGGGGAGGAAGGCACAGTTTCCAAGAAAGGGATTATTTGCAGGTTCATCGGTGAAGAGAACACCTCCGAGACGAATCACAAGGTCGAACTGACGGACGCGCCGACCTGGATAATCGACCCCGTGGACGGCACCATGAACTTTGTCCACACGATGCCGCACTCGTGCATCTCGATAGCCCTCTACGTCGGCAAAATTCCCGAAATCGGTATAGTTTACAATCCCATGCTCGAGCAGCTCTTCACGGCGCGCCGCGGCCGCGGTGCTTTCCACAACGGCGCGCCGATTCGCGTGTCCGGCGAGACAGGTGCGCTACATTCATCCCACCACTCGATGAACACAAGACGTGCAAGTACATGGCTGTTTGTTTTGTTCGCAGACTTGAAAAAGGCCCTGGTGATGATGGAGTTGGGCACGAGCAGGGACCCGGAAAAGATGAACGTCGTGATGGAAAACCTGAAGATACTGACCCCTCAAGTTCACGGGTAGGTTTTTACACATATACGGAATTTTCACCATCAAAAGCAAAAATAATAAACTACGTACGGGCTTTCTTTTTACTTGCGAAGCATGAGAGCTTTGGGCTCGTGCGCGCTGAACATGTGCATGGTGGCCTTGGGTGCGGCGGACGTCATGCAAGAGGTCGGCATTCACATATGGGACGTCGCGGCTGGAGACCTCATCGTCAGAGAAGCCGGTGGAGTTTGCGTCGATCTGGCTGGTAAAAGACCCTCTTACGGATGCGACTTTTCATTTATGATCGGAATCGTTCCCAACGGTAAATTGAAAAAAAAAACATATATATTTGTACTTCTTCAGGTGGCGATTTCGATCCTCTGAGTAGGAGAGTGCTGTGTGCCTCCTCGGCAGAACTCGCCCAGCAGGTGGCCAAGCTCCTGGTTCAGTATTACCCCGAAAGAGATTAGACGTGATTCAAAATAAAAAGTATTTTTGTCAAACTTGCAAAGCATTCCGCATGAGAGTATTCCACGAGATGGTGCAGGGTCACGTTTTCGATGGAAACAATCAACAGACTGTGTGTGCGTGTGGCTCTTATGGATAAATGAAAAAAAAAAACGGAAATTTTTAATGTGTCGATCACAATTATTGAAGAAGAAAGAGTATTTATTTTTCTGTGTAAAAAAAGAAATAAATATATAAATAAAATTATTGAATGGATCAATGTTTTGTGTGTTTTCTTGTAGATATAAAAAAAAGTCATCAGAATTCATGAGGAGGGCTAATTGGACATCATAAGCGGGTACAATGGGAAATAATTCACAACATTTTTAAGTAAAATTGAATATAAGTTTATTACCTTCAATCATTTATTGAAGACAAATTTTGAAAAAATCAGCATAGTTACACAGCTCAATACAGCACTTTTATTTTTCAACATTTCTGCTTCGTTATGGCTATACAGCGTTAACAAAAACGTTTAAATTTTTTTTTTTTTTTTTTTGTATACAAAGGTAATTTCAATTTTTATTTTTTTTTTTTTTTTTTTTTTTTTCCCAAAAGATTGCCTGTATATACTAAAAGTTAGATTCAGTGCTTTAGGTAATGTACATTATACTCTCGGTGCAGGTACACTGAGGTAATATATATATATATACACAAAACAATAAAGTGAATCAGAGCACTTTTCGGGTCTGACTCCGCGTCTCTGTGCCGTACGAAAAAAGATCGAATCATTAGATGTGAAAAACTTGGGTGTACGGTCGAGCCGCACGAATTCGTATGGAACATGGCTTGCCCGCTGGGAAACGGGACGTAAGTACCCAAACCTGCCCTCTTCGTGGTAGCTGTACGAAAACCAAAGGGCAAAGCCAATGAAACATTTCCCCGTATACTTAATTTTGATTTATTGAAATTACGAAGAGATAATACGAGCCCGGGTGGCGGTGGCAGTGGTGGCACGACCTGCCTGATGGAGGGTCCGGGGGTGCTCTACGGCGAGTACCTCATGCTGAACAAAATCCTGTCCGCCCAGAGACTCCTCAGCACGGAAAACAACAAGGAAGTCCACGACGAGCACCTCTTCATCGTCACACACCAGGGTAGGCGAATACTATTTTACCTATACTCGAAATCAGAGAGAAAAAAAAAAACATGATAAATCGATCGGTTTGGCTTTTCAGCTTACGAGCTGTGGTTCAAGCAAATCATCTTCGAGCTCGACTCCATAAGGGCGCTCTTCAACAATGACGAGAGACATCGGCAAACTCATCTTTCCTTCGATTGCCAGCAGCACGACGATGGAGCGAAGAGCAGCTCGAGCGGCGATTCCGAGGCGATCGACGAGTCGAGAACTCTGGAGATCCTTAAGCGGCTGAATCGCATAGTGCTCATCTTCAAAGTGAGTTCATACCGTCGCGTACCGCAAAACCCATGGTATAACCGTTTACTTTACTAGTTTTGGATTTTTTCCAAATCATATACGTATAACATGAGTAAGCGCGAGGCCCTGTGTATAAATATATGTAGCGCAGGTGTGATGGTTATACATGACCAAGTGGGTGAACAACCCCTGCCGACAAGCCAATTACATCGCGGCAAGGGTCTTAATTGAATTTCTTCCGCGCTAAAAGAGCATCACCGCCTTATGACCAGGCATGACCTTGGTTATTTTTCTTTTGTTTATCATCGCTCGTGATTTCAAATGTAGTGCACATCGTTACGTGTATGAGTATATCCAAAATCTTGGGAACTTCAACGACAGGGAGATTTGTTTATTAATAACCGCTTGCCCGTGTTAACTACGCGCGTTCTCGTTTGCACGGAATAGTGGCATGTACAAGAGAGAAGAACAATTTCATCATATCGTTATAATCTATGTAAGGCCTGGTTTGTCTCGCTCGCGTGTATTTTTACCGATTTATCTTTTTTTGTATATTTAAAGAAAGCTACGAATATTTGCGCGCAAAGAAAAAGTAAATTCATTCCGCCGTTATGGAAAAAAAAAAAAAAAAAAAAAGTGTAAGTCATTCGTGCACCGACTTCCGACAACAGCGAGGCCAATCACCCCTTTTTCTGTCCAATTGGTCAGATCGAATGTACAGATGCGTTTACCTACAAGCAAAAAGTCTCGAGTCGCAAAACAACAGGTCACAAAAAGTTTATCAACGATCGAGCTTACGAAATCCCGGTAATCTCGTCCTCTGTGCATACACGTACATTGTTACAATCATACTCGGACCGGCATGTAACGCGTGTGCCACTAAGGGGGTCTTGCCAATTGTAAAAAAGTTTAGCGCTCGGCGGCGGCAATGAAACGGCCAAAAAAAAAAGAAGCTGCGCGTATATTATATCAATGTTGCGTGCACATTTTTATGATTGTGCCGCTGTATCGACACGGCAAATGTTATATTGTGAGAAGGGCCGTGGGGTAAGTCGATACGGGGATACGTCACGCGACACTTGCAAGCTGTCCTCCCTTCTCTCGTTTTATTATTACGCAATATCCATACGGGACTATGGACGTGAAATAGTTGTTGCTCTAGCTTCAACTCGTACCATGCCTTACACGCGTGTATATATATATATACGCACATATAACTTGTGGTCACGCAACAGATTATATGAATTGCGATATCGGTTTTTTTTTTTTTTTTTTTTTTTTCTTGCTATATACTATTTGAGAAAAATAGCACGCGTACAGCGTTAATGTAATCTTACTTTTGAATGAAAATTTTATTTCAGTACTTCATTATTAACACCTATAATAGCGAATAATCATCGGAAACTCGCGTACACGTATATGCCACTGTTATGATCCGAAAATTTTTATTTCGATGTGAAAAATATAATATATACAGATAACACTGTCGCACTTGTAGACAAACAGATAATCTCTCTAAACACTTCTCGCAAATAGCGGTTTTTCCTTTTTTTTTTTTTTTTTTTTTTTTTTTTACTCGGATATCGTCACTCATCTCAGTGTATAGCTGTGTACGTATATATATGCGAAACTGAAAGTAGTTGCCGTAGACGACGGCGACAGCGTTTGCGTTTGCTAATATGACGTCACACGTAGCGCCAATTTCGAAATTTCGCACGTTACACTCAGCAACAANTTTTTTTTTTTTTTTTTTTTTTTTTTTTTTTTTTTTTTTTTTTTTTTTTTACTCGGATATCGTCACTCATCTCAGTTGGGTATTGATAAGACAAAGCGAATGTCTCAGCTGTCCTTCCAAAAAAATAAGATTATTTCAAAATTACCATCGCTATGCTATTATCAACTGTACGTATTATTACATATACGTACAGTTAGATAGTGAAACTGACGAAACGCGTAATTCATATGTTTTTCCATATACTGGTTCTTATTTTTCGTCACTTGTAATCATCATAATAATAAAAGCAAATGTATCAATACACTCAAAACGAGAGTCAAAGAAAACGCAAATTAAAAAACTCAGATTTAGATTGAACGGGAGTTTGCGCTTCTTTCTTCGACCGATACATCGATGTACATTTTATACATGTACGAATAATATAATAAAATGATGGATGCAACGGAAAACGTGTTCCACCGACAGTTGTTGGTGGACCAGGTGTCGATCCTGGAAACGATGACGCCCCTGGACTTTATGGCCTTCCGCGACTACCTGTGCCCGGCCTCGGGTTTTCAATCGATGCAGTTTCGCCTGCTGGAAAACAAGCTGGGCGTCAAGCAGGAGCACCGCGTCAAGTACGGCCAGAACTACACGCGCGTCTTTGGCCGCGACCCGCGCGCCGTCGAGGCGATACGGCGCAGCGAGGAGGAGCCCAGCCTCAGCCACCTCGTGCAAAAGTGGCTGGCCCGCACCCCCGGACTGGAGGCCCACGACTTTGACTTCTGGGGCAAGTTTGAGCGCGCCGTCGAGCAGATGCTCCAGGACCAGCGCGATCAGGCGGATGTACGATTTTTTTCTTTTTTTCCATCACTTAAATCAAACAAAAATATGTACGTGCGTCTGTTCAGGCCGAAACGAAGGAGGAGTCTCGCAAGCATCTGTTGAACAACGTCGCGGCTCGGCAAGCCGTCTTCGACTCGATTTTCAATGAGAGCCTGCACAATGCCCTGGTTTCGCGGGGCGAGCGCCGCTTCTCGCACGCAGCCCTCCAAGGGGCGGTCATGATAACCCTGTACCGCGACGAGCCCCGCTTCAGCCAGCCCCACCAGATTCTCACGGCTCTCATGGACATTGACTCGCTCATCACCAAATGGAGATGTCGGTTCAGTTCAAATCCTACTTTTTTTTTTTTTTTTTTTCTTTTCTTTTTTTCACCTTTTTTCCTTAACAATGGGTTTTGCTTCTCTCGCAGATAATCATGTACTGATGGTCCAAAGGATGATCGGCTCGCAGCAGCTGGGCACCGGCGGCTCGTCTGGATATCATTACTTGAAAACGACTTTGAGGTATACAGCGTATTTGGCGAGTAGTGTGAAATATAAATGCACACAATATTGATTAGTAGGTGAAAAAAAAAGAAAATACTATGCACATTACCAACGAGTGACACCGTTGTTTCAGCGATCGTTACAAGGTCTTCGTCGACCTGTTCAACCTCTCGACGTTCCTAATACCCCGGCACTTAATACCCCCACTGAGCAAGCGCATGAAAACGAGATTATCGATGGCTTGGGGCTTGGGCCTCGAGGAGGTGGCTCTTTCGTTGGAAAACTCGTCGCTCAACGACTCGACGGGCTCGTCGTCGGACAATTCAACGGGTTTTGAAAACAAAACCGGAAAAAACGGCTATCAAAGCGACAGTAATAATTATTACGAAAATACTGGCAGCGACGATTAATGTGTTCATTGTTTATGTGCATATCACTTTTACATATGGGTTGAGGGTCGAGGGGATGAAAGTTAGTGTGATTCGTGAACAATAATTTATTTTTTATTAGTAAATTTTTATTGTCTAATGGTTATTTTTTACGACATACATATATATTATTATGTATATTATATATGTATATGTCTCGCATTAAAAGATTTATTGCTTGTACTGTGTTTTGTCGACGAAATTTTTAAATATGTATCCATAAAAATCTGTATTTAAAATACACCTATCTCTACCATTTTTGGTTGTTTTATCTTATACATATAAACTTTAATCGATCGTTACCTATTATATATTAGTGTCGATCATATATATATATATCAATCATCCATTCAACAAAAAAAACAACATAAATGACAATGGTTGAAATAGCGTGGATTTTAGAATGTATAGTCGCATATTACTTGTTTATTGTAGGTGTAAGGAAGAGTATTATTGCTTTTCTCATCTTTTGTCAATATAATAATATTTTTACAAATTACAAAATCTCGTTAAAAATACTTGGACCGCAATATAAAAATCACAATGTATGTCTAAATAGGCACATCATCTCAAATCCACTGATTAATCATATTGTTTAATGAACAATATCCATAGAGGAAACTTGATTCGCTATTCCTGCAAACGATCGAAAAAAATAATTATCGTACAAACTTCATATAATCATGATGCAGATTACAGTGGTAGAAAAAGTAAGTAAATACCACATAGATTGTTGCCAATCGCTATATGCAAGTACCCGTGGATTCCAAAGGATGGACCCCAGGAGTTTCTAACGATGTAGTAGGGTATCGCTCCTGTTTTGTTGTATCCCACGATTTGCACAGCGTGATTAAGGTTTTCGAAAGATCCGTCGCAGTGGAACTGAATAATGCCACCCAGGTAATTCTGCCAGGACAGAGCATTAACTGCAGTGGCAACGGGTCCTTTGGTTACCAGCTGCTCTAGAAGTAAATCCTCGGCATCGACAAAACTAAACAAGGACAACGATCTTTACATAATTGTATGTACTCGAGGATTATACATCATAAAAACATCGACACAAATTTCTTTCTATTTTTTTTTTTTTTTTTTTTTTTTTTTTTTTTTATACACGACATTTTCTTCAATTTTTTAAGCTCATCATTTTTAACTAGCATATCATGTTTAAAATGATTTTTAAAAACTAAAATTTCACTACTTAACGATTCAAGCCATCTTAAATAGATATTACCGATCCTTTACGCTTTCAAGGACAACTACTCGCAATAGCAATCACGTGTGCACCTTATATAACAAACCATGTAATTACATGCACAACATCTATACAAGACTTAAAAAATAACATGAAGGAATTAACTTTGGATAAAATTACGCTAACGTATATTTTTGACCAACTTACTTATCACAGGTAAAATCTGATATTAGGATACCCTCTTGTGTCGTTGTTGTTTTTCTAGGATTAAAATCAAATGGTAAATATATGTTCTATTCTACTGCAGATGACTAAAAGTAAATCTATAGTTGGTTTTTTCATTTACTTTTGTATTTTGCAAACATCCGTCGTCCTGGTAAGTGGATAACTAGGTTCAGGTAATATTTTTGTTTTGGTGGCCACCAACCATTCGAGCAAACTACAAATATCTCCTCCATCGCATCCAAAATTACTGTTTCCTGCACAGTCAATCATCTGAAATGTATGAGTTGCTGCTTTTTAGAAATTGTTTGAACAAGCAAAAACCATCAGAAAATTTTAAAATCCACCTCTTGCACACTGAATGATTTGAGAGTTCCATTGGCAATGGCAAACATAGATTCAGCTGTCTCAACAGAACTGAAAGCCCAGCAAGCTCCACATGCACCCTGACTCTTGACAGCAGTGATAACTCCCTTATCTCTCCAGTCGAATTTCTTTGGCAATTCTTTCGCTGCTGCTCTTTCGTATCTCTTGTGCGAATGAATGTGATGATAATGGCACTTGTGGTGTCTTTCACTGCGCTCGGGAAGATCTGGGCGTAGGTGAAGGTCCAGGAATTCCTTCTCAGTCAGATCGGAATAGTTTGTCGGGCCATAGCGCGCACTTTCATCTGTGTTTCGTAATCTGTTTAACTTTTCGATTTTCCGGAGTGATAGCTAAAATTATTGTTTGATAAAAATAAGAATTACATTTTTAATCCTCAATATTTAAATTATACAGGTTTTCGATTACGCAAAAGAAAAAAAAAAGACGCTCGATTCGTTTGTTGGTAAACAAACAAAAATAAATCGCCCACCTGTTCCTCTGCAACCCAAAATCAAACCCGGCAAAATTACCTGAAATCGTTCGAATCTCCTCTCATACTCCTCAGGATTGGATTTGTACGGCTTCTTGTACTCTTTAACGTAAGCCTCAAACAACTTAACATCTTCAAGATTTTTTTCGGGCTCAACTCTTATGGGAATCGCAAAAAAACACAAACTTATAATTAAAATTGCCAAACCAATCGTTTTCCACTCCATTACTTATCTTTAGTTGTGAACTCCATTCCTACAGTTTAGCACACAACGCACGCTTATCACCTTCTTTCTCACATTAAAACTTTAATGACTTTTTTCACGAATGTACAGCGGCACACAACTCAAATCACTACTTTCAGCTCTCAGTGTACGCGCGCGAGCCGCACTGAGGAATATATTTATAAGATGCAAGACTTACAAGGCTTTAGGTAAATGGATATTTTAGTGCACAATCGCGACACCCACTATGGCACTGTGCATATGCACACACTGCACAGTCACAGTGCAATGCTTGCTTGGACTTAGTAGAAGTCGTAGCGCACACAAACGCGCGCGCGCGTACATATTCTAGACAGACCGGCATTGTAGTTTGCGCTTCAAGAGACCAATAATCAAGAGTAAGGTGTCTGCGATGCTACGCACGCGATTAGATAAAAAACTAAGAAAAATTTACCACATATGTGTGCGATTGCGGTGAAGTGCTCCTGGTGCCTTAATAACAAAGCGTTTCAGTGGAATGCAACAGGTTACTTTAATGAAAATGACAAAGCAGCAAATTCAATTTTTTTGGTTTTATTGAAAATAATTAATTAATCATTCAAGCTACTGCAGGTAAAGGTGCAGGAGGAGCACCCATGTCTTTAAGTGGATTAACGATCTTCGCCTCGCTAACAGGTGAGGTGTATATTATTTCTTCTTTCGGTTCCTGAACAATAACATTATCAGGCAAGGGTTTTTTAGGGCCATTCTTGCCATTTGGATCCCACGGTAACATAATCTTGACTTTTATGCCCAAAACTCCTGTAAATAAAACACAATGGGTTGTATTTAGGTGAATTATGTCCTTTTTTGTTTTATTAATTTATTTAATAAGTAGATACATTACCTTGCCTGAGGAGTACGTGTCTAGTGGCACTGTTCACGTAGTCGTTTGTCGGTTCACCAGAGTGAATCATAAGTCCATCAACGAACTTCATAGACTTGGCTCTCTGACCTCGAAGCTTGCCACTGACAACGACTTCGCATCCTTTAGCACCAGATTCCATGATGAACCTGAGCACACCATAACATGCTCTGGAAGGAAAGTAACATTTTGCCAATTAGTTCAACTTTAAATACGGATACCTTAATTGATTATAAGAAAATTTAACAAGTACAAAATCAACGTTACACTACGTTTAACTTTGTAAATAGCAATACCTTCTGACAGCGAGCCCTCCAATCAATTTGTAACGGAGAGATTCAGCCTGAGCAATGGCGCAAAGACCTCTTGTGGCCACTTTTTCAGCATAGAGCTCGACACTGTGATCTTTGAAGTTGAATCTTTTCTGAACCACAGAGGTCAGTTCCCTGATTCTTCTGCCCTTCTCTCCCAATACACTCTGGGTGTGGGTAGCCATGAGGATAATTTCTGTCCTCTGTGGAGTGACACGAACCTCAACACCAGAGTACCCATCTTCGGCGAGTTCACGAGTCAAGAACTCGTTCAGCTCAGCTTTAAAGACTCCATCTCCAACGAACTAAAAACAACAAACAAGTGTTTTAATTTATTGAATAAATAATTTGGTACAAAAATACGCATTGAGAAGCTGCAAATTGCTTACAACTACGAACACTGTTCAATCTCAAAGTTGAGTATATTTACGTTAGGAATTCAATTTTCATCAACATTGAAAAAACAATAATTAATAACATTGATGTGTAATGAAAATTAAGTAATTGGCTACCGTTGATACTTTTTTAGAATAACAGATATTTCAAATAGTATACAATATAATGCCATCACGATAATCTTAACAAAAACATTAGTTGATGAAACATCGCTGACAATACAGGGTTATGTTCTGTTCAGCGACTCAATAACTCCATTTTAACAACACAAAAATAAACAAGACACTTCAAAAAGTTGAAAAAACGTGGCCTCTGGATAAACCGCGAACAAAACTGCAATTCACTTTTAACGATATAAGCAGATAAAATAATTTAATTTGATCTGAAAAATCAACACAGCCCACGGACACTCTGGAATTAACCCCTCGTCAGCCGCAACAGTATCCTTCGAATCCTCCAGTTTTTTCGTGTCAGAAGCCACCCAGCTGCGAAAACCGGGTAATGGAACCATCGCAGATTTTGCTGATATACGTATTTTTGCACATAATCGTGAATAAACTTGTTAATTCGACACAAACCTTTCGTTTTTTTGAAATCGATGCGACAGCCATGATTACAAGCTACGACGGGAAGAGCGAAAAAGAGCACGACTTACTCTCGCACATGCACGCGCGCCATGGACAAAAAGCAAGTGTGTCAAAAACGTAAAGCTGTATTTAGATGGCGTCGCTGCAGTCGCGTAAATACACGACCTCTTCACATCCACTCGGAATGTAATTTCTATACGGAGCTGCGAATAGACTCTGCGCACAAGAGAAAGAGCCAATCAGAGCTATGGAGGACTTTTCCACTTCGAGCTCTGATTAGTTCTTCCTATTGCAGTCGCGCGGCTCTATCGCACACGAAATTGCAGTCTTGTAAGTAAGTTACTGTTTGCTCCCGTGTCGCATTGCATGGTTTGTTTTTTGGATCTCTCTTTGCTTTGCCGCTTTACAAGCTTTTACGCAATCAAACGCAAGGTCCTCAAGAAGGAATTATCATTTTCATTCAGGACGATAATAGGAATTATTTAACTATAAAATGTATATTTACTTGTTTTTTTTTTTTTTTTTTTTTATTTTATTTGAAAAAACAACCATAAACCGTAACATACGTGTTTATACTGTCAGGTATATCTGATGTGTATGAATATAAGAATCAAGACATGGTGATACAGTTTTCTGGCATTGGCCAATCGAAATTACAACAATAACGATCAATCACTCACATCAGACTAACAATAGTTTAAAAATTATTATTAATTGAACCGTTCCCAGCTTGTGTGTAACACACAACTTGCACAAATTTGTTTAAAAACGTGTCTTACAAGTCAGTTCACACTAAATAGTGAACACGAATGTTCTTTTTTTTCTCAATCTACATTAATATATTTAACGTCCATTCGAACATCGAACATTTAGTTTTATATTTAAATGGACAAGTGCTTGATGTTTGCATGATTTTAACATTTATCAGTCCACTAAAATTTTCAAAAATTAGTGGATGATCATCTTTGTTCAATTTATCAATAAAAAATCTAATCGAATGTGGGATCTGTTATTTATCATTCAAAGACGAATAATAAATCTCAAATAATGATTGAAGCATTAGACCGCTTTCTGGAATCATTGTAAAGAATGAAAATACATATAAATTTTATAAGTTCGTCACTGAAATATCTCAATATAACATGTAAAAAAGTTAACTTTTTAAAATTTTGCTAGAAAGATTCGTTTTTATCAAAACCTTTGGTACCACAAAAATATCCAGTCACTTTTCAGGTACCAGGGTATAAATTGTAAATTCAATTACATATCTTTAAATTTTTCAACCATAGGCGTTAATAAAAAGAAATTTTAGGACTAAAAGTATTTTGCATTAATGTTTTAATTTTTATCGAATTTTTCAATTGAAAAAGGACTATCGCTCACAAGGTATGAAATGACATATGTTTTACGAGCTTTTAACAAAATTTATAAAATAACATTTTATAGTGAGTATGTTCATAAGGACATAATAGCATGAATTTTCTAAACAAAATGGTAACCTTACGAATGTTTATGTAGGTAAAGTTTAAAAAAGTTCAAAAGACCATTGGTCTTCAAATCCTTTCAAGTGACAAAGCATATCTAGTCACCAAAAATGTTAAACACATGATTCAAAAATTCATCATCATCAGGGTAACTTGTTTTCCAGGTGATTTTATTGTTGATGAACAGGCGTCATTCTGAGCATCATTTCAACAAAACCTCCGAGAATCTTTCGAAGAATGACTGGCAATGTTGGTTTCATAGCAATGCTACTGATGGTATTTGTAATTTCAATGAAAACTTGGCGGGTAAACTGATTTCTTCGAGAAGACAGGCGTAGCTGCAGAAATTGGTAATAGATGATAGGAGTGAAAAGTCCGGTTCTTCCACTACAGAAAAAAATAACATGATTAAATTTTATAAAAAGTTGGAAAATACATATAATGCAGCAACTACTCACGTAAAAATAAGCAACACAGTCAAAGGTAGAATTAGGATTTCACAAAGAGCACAAAGCCGTAATATACTTCTCGACTGGAATTCGACAAGTGAAATCAACAAACGAGCTCCCCACCAACTGTTCTGACCTAATCTCTGTAAAATAATTTTTTTTATTTCGTTTAGTAGTTGAAAGAATATGGCAACGTTTTTAAATTTCTTAGAAATGGTTAAAAGATCATATTTTATGCTGTACTTAAAGTTTGTGCATGTTTAAATATGATGACTTTGAAATTTGAGACCTTTAATAAGCATTGGTTGTGTCATGATGATAGGTGCTTATTACTGATAGTATGTATGTACTTACATCGAGAAGAGTCAGAGAATAGCTTGCAGAATGTAGAAGAGCAAACAAAAATACGGGCACGATCACCACTAAAATTTTTTTTATTATTGTTACAAAAAAAATGTTTTCGGATGTGCAGAAATTCTCTAAATTTTATGTAAAAGGAAAAACTTACTCGTTACTGGTGCAGTCATCTGAAATATGCATGTATAAATTATGTAATGAAATGAGTCTTCGATAAACAAATTTCTCATAAATTCAGCTGTGAAAGAAATTCTTGGTACTCTTTGATGTAGGCGAAGTATGTTTGTTGCTGTACAACTTAGCAGGACCTTATAATAGGCATCATATGGGTTTCTGAAATAAAATAACATACAGAGAGAATTGAATGAAAAACATCGCAAGGCTTGTAAAGGTACAATGTTTACTCACCCAAATATCGGAAGTAGATATACAAAGGTGAAAAGTATAGTGATAAGTCTTATTGCGCATTGGGCAGCTTTAATTTTATCCTGACTTAATTCCTGCTTGACTGCAAACCAACCCGTTTGAGGGGCTGAATTAGTTCTGGACTCGCCTGAAGTATCTGCCATTCTGTAAACAATTACTTATCATGTGAACCTCAAAATTTTTACGTGAAGTGTTGTGAACGTTCTCTAATACTGGCATAGAGAACTGAATCAGGAAAATTAATGTGTCATCTAAATGTGCATAATCATGCATGCAAGAAAAATGTAAATTAGATATGTAGCAATTACGTGCTATTTTGTATGGTATTCAATCTTCTATTGGTGACCTTCCATTAAGTAACCTGCAGTCCCATGAAACTCACATTTTTTTATATATAATACATCACACTTTTTCACTCTCTTAATTGAAAAGCGATTCGATTACAATTATAAAAATGAGTGTCGAATGAATTAACATATTTGCAAGTGACTTTCTAAAAAAGGAAAGTTTTTTCGTGCAGCTGATTCGGCAAAAAAATGAAATTAAGTACGCTTGAAAGCTACCAAAAAAGGGAAATAAGTATAAGGTGGAAAACTTAACTGATGGCTCGCTCCTGCTGCTGAAATCGAAAGTTATAAATAAACTCAATCAGAAGCGTCTCGCAAAAAATGTAAAAGTAAGAAAGAACGCCCGGATACTTATTAAATACCGAAATAAGTGTAGGTACTAAATAATGTCTACTTCGTATAAACATGGAGCACCAAAAATTGTTTCTCACGGCAACACGACTCTTCAAATGATAAGTACCCCAGTATTTTGTAGATGGTAACAAAAAAGCATACTCACGTAAACGAAACTCTGATTATCTCTGTTGGAGCTTGATCCTCAGCCTCAGCTCTTCTAGGAGATGACCAATTACCTATAGCCACACGCCACACTGACACTATGTATTGGTCACCGTATACACGATTTACGCACGACTCCTCAGAGACTGTACTCACCGAGCAAATACCTCACCGACCACTGTCCACGTCCACGTTCCACGTAATACATTTACTTACAACGATATTCAACACTTTTTGCGATTGCGATACGATATTAAGTATAACGATTGCATGAACCGTCGAGAGATCGACGAACGCTACCTCGATTCTTAACGAGACGCGAAAATGGGGCAAACAAGAGAGTGAAGCAAGTCTCAAACAAAATGCACATGTTTTGGAATCAAGTCAAAGAAATTACTTTTTTTAGCTGTACATACAACACACTCATCTAAGTGCTTGTACGGGTGTCAATAAAGTAGTAAAAAGTATTGTTGTCGCAGTACTGTCATCATTTGTCACTTCTTGAGTTTGAATAAAATACAAAATATCGTACCAGCCGACAGCTTATCAGCTGTTCTTCGTTGAATTATACATATGTCACATCCTACCCGTAAGTTTAATATACATCAGTGTCTCGGTCTTATTGATTTTTCATATTTTTTTACGCAAGTACTCGTATACAAATTTACCAATTATTAGTGTGTTGCAGTTTGTAAGATGTATTTTTTTCATCTTATACATCCACACGCACGATTCAAACAAAAGCGAAATTTTGGAGTTTCGGAGTCGAGAAGTTTGAAATGTTCGAGTTGGAACTGTTTCTCGTCAATGTAATTCACGTTGATGATGAGATAATGTAAAATTATCTTCTTATACACACCATTAGATAAGGTTAAGTTTATTCATTCGAATATTTTATTAGATATTGCTTTATTAATTTCAAGTTCGACGAATCATCCAATTTGGCAACGTTGACGAGCAATTAATCAATTTGAATAACTTATAATTTATTCAAGTTTTTCTGAGCGCAGAAACTAAACTTACGCGTGGGGCGCCAAATTTGAATAATCATGGAATCGGTATTGGCTTTGTTGATTCGATTACTTTAATAAAATAAAATTTAAATACATGCCTGCTACGTGACGATTACGATACAGAAACCTAGATCCATTTATTAGATTTATTTTTTTGCGGATATTGCTAAATAACCGTGAGTACATATACGTTATGCTCATTTTTGCATCGTATTAACAACATATGATCATCTTATTTATTATTAATATGCAATACCTATAATGATTTTTATTATTCACAAAGATTTTATATCTATGATGTAAGTACAATATAATAATAATGATGAGATGATTCGAAACCTGATATTTTGGAGTTGCTCCCAAACATCACGTTTTGAGTAATCACACAGTTTTTAGTAGGTTCTCAACAGCAAACACACATGTTTACGTACATAAAATGTGCAATGAATTTTCTTAACAATGAGATATTTACTCTTAAATATTTTTATATTTTTTACTTTATCCATATAGTTGTTCGATTGCTTGACCAATCGATGTGCTAGCGTTGTAGAAATATTTTAGTAAAGCAAAATTATAATTCATGAAAACATTTGAAATAAATTAATCAAACAAATCATGAGTAAGTTTTAAGCCCCTCTCCTTTAGATGCATACGGAACGACTTGTGTTCCCCAGGAAAAAGACAACAAAACAAAGCACACTATTTATAAGACTGACTGATATTGGCAAAAAATACTACACCACGAAGTTGTTCTTTCCTTCTTCTTGAGCAAATATGAAAATAACATCTGACTGACGATATCATCCCTATTCCCGACTAATAGCTTAATAAATCAATAAAATTTTCGTTACATCAGTTTTTCTTTTAGTCATATGACAGAATTAATTCGAGTATATCAAAGGGGCGTACCACGGCGCACCTCCTTTGTAGTGCATTTGTTTAAACTATTTCAAATACCTACTTCAAATTTAAAAGAAGAAAAAATTTTTTTTTTTTTTTTTTTTCTAAATTTCTTTAAAAATTATCGTCATTCAAATACTGTCCATATTCGTTGAAACAATTTCAAAAACTATTAATGGTTTGTGAAAATTATCGATCTCTTATTTAAAAATACAATTTTATCGAATGTAAAAAAAAACAACTTTTTTTTAATAATAATCGCAACTTAGTCCAAGTCTGTCGACACAGAGAAAGTCGGCCTCGAGAGTCGGGAGCGAGTTTACCGTTAACTTTCTTTCGCGTCTAAGCGAACATTCACCAGATCCTTGTGTATATTACGTTTGATAATACACCATACACCTACATACGCGTGTATATAGCTATATACAAGCACAGAGATGTTTCAAGTATATTGATTTTATGTATCATTGCATGGATTTTTTTTTTTTTTTTTCATTAGTATATTGTAACGTAAAAAGTCAGGGAACCGGTTTATCACAATAAATGTTTGTCGGCGATGCAAAAAAAAAAAAAAAAAAAAATTAAATTAAATAAGGATCCAATGCATTGCTTTATTGTCACACGTTTTTGTCCCGACAATCGGAGCCCAACACTTTTCTTCCTCTTGTTTTTCATCACACCTACCCGTTCGAGTAAAAAACAAGGTGCTCTTATCAAACGTAAAAAAAAACAACGACTTAGCTGAAAAGTCCAAAATTCATTGTTATTAGCGTCTTTCGTTTTTATTTTAAACGAGAGACGCTAAAAATTGAGCGTACTCGAAGAAAAAGGAGAAGTTGCATGAACCGGCTGACCCGAATAAAAAAATATAATTGCGTTAAAAAAAAAAGGTAATAAGTAGTTTGCATTTGCCTGCACAGCCAATATAACAATATATACTTGAGTCCCAGTTAACTTGGTATTGTTGAGCAACGATGGCAAAACGATGAATTTTTTTTGAGCAACGTCACATTTGTATATACATATACATCATCATTTTTCAGAATGAAAAATCAGCAGTGCGAAAAAGTCCTCGGAGAGCGGCCTAAAAAAACGAAACTGCACGTACGATTAACCTGCCGCTGAAGCGCGCGAGAGGAGGGGCGATAAGTAATAGGCTTCGAGACGGTCCGCAGTCGCGCGCGGACTTTCGAATGAAGCGGGAGCACCGGTTACCGCTAGCCAAGGAGGAGTCGACATCAGCAGCTCGTTACCTACCCCGTTGTGCGTACAAGTCCTCGTCGGCATCATCCGGCTTGGGTATGCTGTTCCTCATCCTGGGCTCGGTGGCCACCCTGCTGGGCTACGGCCTCGTCAGAAGACGCAACAACGGCAGAATCGCCTTTGCGCTCGACTGGCTCAGACTCCAGGTCGAGTACAACGCGGTCGCTGTCAAGGAGATTTTCTACGACCGGCTACAGGCGCGATACAACAGGACAGGTGAGGTTCGCGAGACGTTGATTTTAATTTTAAGCCTCTGCACATCATCATAATATGTGGTTTTTACCCTATTGTATGTACGTTCTGTTTTCGAGAGTGCGCACATAATAATACATATATTACTTATGTATACCTCTCCGTAGACATCATACGCGAGTAAACACTTTCTCTCTCGCGCTCGATATTTCGTTTCGTTATATACATATATAGTGTAGATGCGTGAATTTTAGCACGTCGTAGGTAGGCTTCGTTAACATTATTTATGATTTTACGGCCTTTATTGAGCCTCCGGATGTCCAAGTGTACCGGATTGCATCTTGCAATGCATGCGGGCAAAAAACAATCAAAGGCAGATAATTTGAAACTGAAAGGTTTAAGTTTGCGGAAAAAATTATTTTTTTTTTTTAAAGCCTTTTTGAAAAAAACGCGGTTTTTTAGAATTCCAATTTAGACGGGTTGTTTCCGGGACTTTCAAATTAAAAAAAAAAAAAAACAAAAAAAAATTTCACGTAACAATCACCTTCTCAAAGCATATTTTCGATGAAAAGATACGTGTTTAGTAATAGTTATAACTTGTATTTGTTCCATTCATTTCATTAAAAAATTCAAACCTACTAAGAGCTATTGAAAAACTAGAAATATCGCTATTATGATATCTAAATCGTTTTAGGAGCGCTCGGGGCGCGCCAAACTTCTTATCGGCTTTTTTTTATCCAAAGCTAATTTTAAATAATGAGCTTTCAAGAAAACCCATCTTCACAATACATTGAATTGCTACGAGTTGATAATTTTGTCTTCGATATCGTTTTAATCTAATTTAAAATTATTGATAAAAATACCTATGTATGAAATACATCGGTAAAATTTTATTCCAATCGACTTGAAGTTTTTCTTTAAAACATTGGATACACTTTTTTTTAATATAAAATAAATTTATAACTTTTGCTAACACAACCAATAATATTTAATTGCGAAACTCGCAATAACAACTCGGAAAGTCCAAACGAAACGTCACTGACAAATTCGAATAGGCGTGTTATCATCAAATTTAATTATACCCACCGTATGATTCCAATGTATTCTTAGATTAGACGTTATTGATTCTTATCAAATGGAACAAGCAATTTGTTAAATTGTAACTAAATAAATATTCGCTGAAATATAAAAGTGCTAAACTGTTTTCAACATTCAACTACACATGGTTATATATATACATATATATATTTATATGTCCTCGAGTACCCTTAATGACATTCAAGGCTATAAAAATGTGCAACTCGCTAAGTAGGTAGTCTCAGTTTAAGGGCAAAACTTTCGAGCCCAAGTATAGTATGTGTATACGCTGACGAGAATACAAGTTCGCGCACTTCAGGGATGTCGAAGGCAGATGCAGCACACTCATGTACCTACTTATGTTCTTTTGACCGAAGCTGCTTGTTTAACTGTTCCCAATAAGCATAGGTATACTTGTATTCGTGTACATATAGTTGATGTACTCTTAACAGTCTTCTTTATGTAAAATTTCCCGGCTCGTGTAGATACGCAGCAGTAAAAATAATTTATTTCACGCGAAAAAGTAAGAATATTTTAATGCAAACAGAGTTGCCGCTCATACCAGGCAGAATAGCTATCGTGACGGGCGGCTCTCGGGGCATAGGCGCAGAAATCGTTCGTATGCTCCTGCAGTGCGACTTGGAAGTCATAATCGGTAATTGTTTACCTATATTGTACACCTACGTCGTAACATATATTTGTTCGTCCACGAAAAAATTCACGAATCATTTTGTAGCTTGTCGAAGACCGGCGGCCGGCGACAAGGTTGTCGAGGACATAAGGAAGTCGGGCGTCCTGACTGGAAAGACCAAAGTCATGAAGCTGGACAACTCGAGCCTGGGCTCGGTCCGGGCGTTCGTCGAGGCGTTCAAAAACAACTACAAAAAACTCGACATTTTAATAAACAACGGTGAGAAATTATCTTCCGTGCATGTACTTTCATTACATACAGCTAATTCGTGATCCGATTCCAGCCGGAGTCATGTTCCCGCCGTATGGGGAAACGGAGGATGGCTTCGAGGAGCAGTACGGCGTGAACTACCTGTCCCACTTTTTGCTGACCGTATTGCTGATACCTCTGTTGAAAAACGCCGGCGATTCCGGGCACCCCGCCAAAATCGTCAACGTATCATCGTGCGCCCATCTTTTGGGTGACATCAACTTCGACGACATCAACAGGTGAACCAGTGCTAAATCTCTATGTGCGATCGTGGTCATGGTTTTTCCATGAGTATATAAATGTTATAAAATACGCTTTTGATGATTTTTAGACGAAAAGGTTACTTTTTGACCGGCGTCGCTTACGCCCAGAGCAAGTTGGCCCAAGTGTTGTTCACAAAGAGCCTGGCCAGGCTGTTTGAGGAGAAAAAGTTGCCGATTCGGGCCAACGCCGTTCACCCCGGCATCGTGGCCACGGACCTCTTCGACAACTCTTATCTCAAGTATTTGAAACCAGTGGGCCGGCTTTTGTTCAAGGTAAGCTGCACACGCGCTTCTCGTTGTTTGCTGGAACTCAATCAGTTAACGCGATCAATTTGTTGTTCCCCATTTACACCTACACCTGAATCCTAGCAATTTCCAATCCAATCTATACCGGAGCAAACAGCCTATACGTATAATATACGATGTCGATGTTAAGTACAACGACTTGGGAAAAAAAATCACTAATTAGATAAATGCAAATTGTCTTTGTGTTTGCTGTGTGTGTAGACTCCGAGGCAAGGGGCGACGCCTATAGTATACGCGGCGGTCAGTCCGGCTGTGGAGCACAAATCGGGCCTGTACATCAGCAACTGCCTCGAATCGACAATTAATCCGCTAGCAGCTGACAAAGCCGTTCAAGATCGACTTTTCGAGCTATCGCTTAAACAAGTTGGATTACAAAATGCCTTTGACACCACGTAATCCTTTTTTTATTTTGAACGTTTTTCATAGCAATATATATCGTACCTCGCCTTCGGCTCGAGCAATGACTACAGTTCAATTTATGTCTTATTAGGTACGTAATGTATACTATTTCTAATTGACCGCATATATTTTATACAAAAAACTGATGCGCTCGTTTGTAAAAGATAACTGTATAGCCCCGTCTTTGTCCCTTTCCGTTAAAGATTCTATAGGGTAATTAAATGACTGCTCTTTGATGTAAATTATGTAGATATGTTACGCAGTTTCATGTTTAATAATTTACCATTATACCTTTGGTTTTACTATTTTTATTAAATACTTTTTTGTCATCAGCTTAACATAGGGCAGAATGTGATTTCTCGTAATAAAAGATCAAGAGTTGAGCTTTACGTCATACGTGACAAACACGCGGTCGTTCGTGAGGCTTGAGTGTCGACGATTATAATAGTTGATGACGGAGTGCTAACTGGATGTTATCATACTTATTTTTATACATTTTCACAGTAGATAATATATTATAGGTACATAATGTGATATCCATATATGAGTGTGTGTGTCTTGTTGTGTTCTGATTTTGATCGCACGTACGCACGCACGTATATACAAGACTTTATTACATCTATATGTTATGATTTCTCAAGTGCTAAACTTAGATGTACAAAAATGTACTTCCATCCATACTTTAGCATAAATTTTACCTGCAAAACTACGAATAATCAATAACTAAAATGATTGAAGCGAAGCTTCGTACGTATGGCCGTCCATTTAAAAAGGAGATTTTTGTTATGTCGAGTGGTTAACGCGTTAATTTAATTGCATAAAAAATATTTTTTTTTTGTTCTTTTGTAAAATTAATCTAATAAAATTGTTATACATGATGACAATCAAACGAAAATTTCTTTATTTCGAAATACTTAAAAGCCTTTTGGCTGGTCAAAAATCTCTCACTGCCCGATATAAGTATAATGTTTGAGATATCCGACCAAGCGAGCACGAGCGTCCAAAATGTGAAATCAGTGAGTATAGGTATATACTTATTTTGTAAAGGATGTGTACTTATGTAAATAATATTGTTAAAACGCCAAATATCTAATAAAACTTTTGATTACCAAAAAACGACATTGTTTCATTTCATTTTCCCATCGTATAGCGATAAATATACACTTTTGCTTGAGAGCCCAGCAAAAGTAAAATTCCCCCACATCAAGCACATACCGCCAGAATTTGCGCCACGAGGCGCAAGCGCGTTTACTCGGTGATTGTATATACACCTTATATTAGAAAAAAAAAAAAAATTAAAATTTTTGCTATGTAAAATTATAACCTTAGACGCATAATTATACAGACATATTCAACAAATTCGGATATGCATATCAGGGCTGTGGACTTGACTCGGGGGGGGGGGCCTCACCACATTTTCAATTTTACATGGCTATAGAGCTTCAGAGATATAGCTTTTAGCACACCAGCTGTGCTTGCATAACATATTATGTATGTACAAGTCACGCGAAAGCTCTCCCCCTGGAAGATCGACAACGGCGAGGATGATGATCGTCCACGAAACAAGCAAAGCCAAATGAGTATAACATCGATATGCAAGAGTATAATTATATATTACACACGTAGCTAATACGTATATAACGAGGTGCATATACCTATATTTATTGAGGGAAGGGAGGAGGGCTTCGCCAGAGAGAGGAAGGAGAGCATCCCTCGCACGTCCCCCTGACATGCATGCACATCAGAAAGAGAGAGCGGGCCACCCGGCTGCGCGCGCGACTTTTTCCCCGGGCAGATAGTCGGATTTTATTCTGCGCATGGAAAGCAATTTTGCCCAATCATAAATAGGGCTATTGTGGGGGGACACACGGGGGACGCCTCCCCCCCCCGGCTGACTGCATCTGTATGCGCTCGCTCGGCTATACCCCCTTCGTACCATATACGTAGGATACATCATCATCCCTGTGTGTGCACGTATATATATATATATGTGTGTGTACATGGCAAACGTCTCTCCGGGGCTGGCAGCAGCAGCAGCGGATATCAGAGAGATAGGTAGTACGGGAGCACCGAGAGCTACTCCTCTCGTGCGAGCGTCCAGCAATAATTATTTGTCCCCGAGAGTCTTTTCTCCCTCGACGTCATCCTCAATGTTGGCTGCCTCTGGATAGTTTTTGCTCCTATACATTGCTCTTCTGCCGCTGCTGCTGCTAACTCCTGTTGACTATCAGCCACGAGCCTCCTCAACTGCCGACCCGCACACGTAAATACTCATCATCATTTTAAATATAACTATATTTATCAACTTTAACTCCTCTCCCCCGCCAGCCTCGCGGATAACTTTACGCGCGAATTGTACGGTTTCACCCTCTACTGTTCGAGCGAACTTTTTAATTTTTCGACGCATCTCCCGTAAGTATAGAAAATTGTGTGGAACAAGGTTGAATCGAGCAGCCAGTGGTTGACAGACCAAAAACACTGCTAGTCCGCGCGCGCGGGGAGCTTGCGAGATAGAGCGTGACTTTTCGGGGGTACGTATACCCTATATATGGGTATACTATACATATACATGTATACAAAGAGATGACAGAGGGGGGGGGAGGTGCAAGCGATCCTCCCGCGCGCGCTCGCGACGAGTGATGATTTATGACGTCACGCAGACCGACCCCTATCATCATCGCCAGCATCCCGGTCACCCTATACAAAAGTCTCACTTGAAGTATATTTCTGCATTTACAGGCCTAATACGTACACAATTGTTGTAGAATTATTATTAACTGCTTCGAGTTAAGGGTTGGGTATTTGTGTAACTTTCATAAATTATAAATATACAATATACATATGAAGGGTTTAATATACATACGGCACGGGACGATCGAGGGGATGGTGCGACGGGACAGCTCGGCGCCGCGCGCTATACATTCTGCGTTGCGTATACATAATTATATACTCACTAAGGGTACATACCTATACGTTTTGTTGATACGTGTGTTCATGTACGTATAACTTGCAATGACACTCGAACCAAAAAGTTTTCTTTTTCTTTTTTTTTTTTTTTTTCAATCATATACTCGTTGCGATAACAACAGGTTTCTCGGTACAATTGTAACTGTTCGCGAACGCACGGGGAAATGACGTTGGCGCGTGTTTTCCCCCGGACTAAAAACAAAATAATGCTTAGAAAATTTGCTCGTACGGTAATAGCTAATAGCGAAATAGTCGCGTCTTCGATTTTTTTTTTTTTTTTTTTTTTTTTTTTTATAACTTTAGCAACTTTGTGTCGGTATAAAAAAAAAAAAAAAAAAAAAGATCAAAACGTACTATCTGCACCGCGTACTGCGTTAAGCCGTGATAATTTATGTACGCACAGCACCATCACCACTATACCATGTACTATTCAAATATCATTGGAGGTAATATCTACTTTTAAAATATCCTGTACGAGCGTGTATTTATCGATTTGACTCTTTGTGAGGTTCCCGGTTTATTGACCCGCCTAATTTTATACCTCGATCGAAGCTCCATTACGCGCATCGCCCATTCACCTCTACCATATCTAATTGACAGAACCGCGCGAAAATAACATTTATAACAAGCTCTTGGATCGATATTCCCCGAAAACACAATTTCCTACTTTGTATTTGTATATTTCTTGGTTGTTTTTTTTCTTAGTTTGTAGTAATTACAATTGCAACGATAGCGATACAGTTTTAGCGTCGGTCCATTTTTCACGAGCCAATGTCCAACCACTGTATACATTTTAACCGGTTATTGATTTTTCGCTCAATTATACAAATCCACATGTGTGTGTCTATGCCTACCGGCGCCCAGGCGAGAGCATATTATATTAAAAACTAATCGTCGTAGAGAAATATATTATCCGCATTGTATACCTATGTATATGTTGATGCATGTGCACGATTTTCAGTAGTAAAAGCTCGACGTAGTCGGCCGAGTCGCGCAGTGAAGCTACATCTGGCCAAACCCAATAATACAATTGTCCTGTATGTACTGTATCGCGCGATGGACTTTGCGTTCTGTATATCTATATTCAGGCATAATTTATGCCGAAAGCTAATTTAATATTTGTGGCCGCGAGCTGCACCGACAATAAATATATGAATACGACAGAAATCCTCACCGCACGAAGCGAAATTCATGTTCGATTTCTGTACAGCTTTTCCATTCCGCAAAGGACTAGTTTAACTATATCTATTTGTTAAAAAACAAAAAAAAAGGAAATCTTCGCTAATGGTATATTATTATTGTCATTATTATTATTATTATTATTATTATGATTATATGTTGTATACAAGCGGAAATAATAATAATAATGATAATAATAATAAGCGGGAGATGCGAGGATTGTTGTTTGATACACAGAATCTCTTGAATGTGCTAATTAATATACGAGTTTTGCGTTCAAACGAGGATTATTTGCAACTTTCCGCGTTGCTCCCCGAAATTCGAATTAATTTGATGGCGATTCGGGTCAATGTATAAACGTGTGTGGGGTTACGACGCACCACAAGTGCATGCGACTCGCTTCAATTATTTCATAATCGCGCTTATTGGAAATAAACTAAAACGCTGACGTATAAACATACATACAGTTGCGAAGGAAATATCATCCATAAGAACACGCGAGGCGAGGATAGTATAATATGTATGTACGTTTTGATGAAAAAAAGCAGGGCCAGCGTGCACGCAGATGGAATATGGGGTCAGGGCCCGGGAAGTGCTCAGCGGCGACACGAGCGTGGGCCCCGGCTCCGTGGCGCAGGTACCCGGGCTGCCGGCCAACTGGTTACAAGAGACGAGTCCAACGGCCTTATTTGGCAATTCCCTGCTGGCTGCGGCGTACCACCAGCTGCCGGCCAGCTCGGCGGCTCTGCTGTTGAGTTCCCTGCAGACGTTCCAGTCGAGCGCCGATGGGAAGCCCAACAGGAGCCCCTCGCCCGGGCACGTGTCCGCGGAGGATCCCCCGGGGAGGCCCGAGCAGCCCGATGACGAACAGGAGGAGGACCACGCGAACGAGAGGCTGAAGGTCGACGAGGACGAGACCAGCTTCGAGAGCTGGGTACGTTGGGAACCCCTCGACTATATTGAACTGCTGCAACAATAAGTGTCATGTCAATAATGTTTGTGTACTTGCCGATGCAGAGGGACACGACGATACCGGTGCTGAGCAGCTGGATGTTGAGAGCGTACGCAACTATGCTGGGCAGGCTCTCGGCCGCCACGGCTGCGTTTGAGGCGGCGGCAGCAGCGGAGGACTCGAACTTTGCCTCGGACAGTGACTCGGAGAGCGACCGCTCCACGTCGACGGATGTGTTGTGAGTTTTCTTTTATCCATAAGCATTGTCGTTTAAAATTTTAAAACTACCGATAAATGTGTCTATTACATATAATACCGTTTTTCATAATTATTCGGGACGGATATGGGTCCAAACATAATAATGGTTTTGCAAAACTGAATCAGATAATATGTTTCGGGTTATGTCAGGTAAATGTTGATTCTTTGCGTAATAAACGCGTTTTAAAAAAAATACTGTTTAATTGCAGCTATATCAAGTCTAAGCTTGGGCACTCGTAAGACTGAGAATAAATCGTTGTATACTTGTTTCTAAAACTATTCTTATTATTAGGTATAATTATTTATAAAAATTACAATGCCTTACTTCGTCTTGTTATGTACAATAAAACTTCTTTAAAACAAGTGTATTTGAAAAGACATCTTTACCACTCGACTGTGTATGATACTTCATTTTGGTCTTCATCTTCAACGTCGTCAGCGTTGTACATCGTACTACCATTTTCCTTGTAATCTTCAGTATCCTTGGACTCGAGATCGTCCTCGAAAAGACTATTAACTGTTTTTGAGATTTTTAAATGCTTCCGTACATGCCGCCTGAAGTTTGAAATGATCCATCTTGATTTTCTGCCAACATTTTTATGGCTTTTCCTTATGGTAATAGTCACAGCACATATCATGCACTTGATAGTACCAACCGATAAAAATTTCTCTTCCTTACTATCTTTATCAACTATTCTTCTTATTTGAACCTTGACTATGGCGTTTTTCATCAGGGCCAATTTTTCTGGATTGCTCTTCAGATCTCGCTTCACTGCATCTCTCACCAACCGAACAAGTTCCTGCTTCTCTTCCTCACGATTTGGTGGTCCCTTTTCAACTGGTGTCTTTGGTGGCTCTTCATCTTCGGATCCCGATACTATGTCACCGTTGACGTAGGATTGACTCAAAGAATGGTTGAAAGGTGGAGGTTCAGTGTAATTTATTTTCCAAAAATCACTAGACTTGCTTTTAACAAAGGATACAAGATTTTTTATAAGATAACGATCCCCAACAAGAAATCGAAACTTGTTGGGAATTTTTTGATAGCGTCCATAGTACTGAACGAGGTTGTCACCTTTGTTCAAAAAGTCCTTCATAGATTCACGAACAAATTCTTCAAGTTCACGAAAGGTATCGTCGTTTATGCATTGAAACAACAAAGGGGTATCTAAATTGTTGAGGGTCAGGATGTTTTTCACGTAGATGGGTATGTCGATGCCCTTCTCGGACTCCAATTTATTCCAAAACGCTTCACCTGCGAGAGATTCCGAGGTCTTGGTAATATCGAGAATTGGAGGTTTCACGTCACATGTAGGCTCGCTTGTGTTCGCGCTCTTGTCCATTTTATTTTCTGTTTAGTTTAAGCCTGTAACATAATTGAAAAAGAAACTTGTTAATCGTTATGATTAATTACATACATAAAATCGAGAGGATCAAAGTAAATTTTTCGAGAAATGGCTGCACGTGTACCAGCTGTAATTTAAACATGCCGTAAATACATTTTTTTATTTCGCGCGCGTATCTATCGAAGAAGGTTTGATTTTCTTGTAGAATTACAAAATAGTACCAATTTCTAGGGCGCAAAGTATGATTTCAGTGTCTAGAGTGCTATTTTGTCAATGTGTGAGAAAACCGAATCAGATAAATAAGTTTCTACAAATCAGAGGACTCCATCGGTATTGTCACAGTGGCAACAGTTAGTATAAATCGTATGACAATTAGCTGAAAATCCGATATTAATCATGTAAAAATCGGGTAGTTATCATATGAATGCAATCTCAAAATGTCAAGTGAATCACCATCAGTTGATATTTATTAAACGCTCAGCAACAGAGCAGAAGTCCTCCAATTGTACTTTACTACAGACGTGATTCTCAAAATCTTTCGGAACTCCTCCAGCTGTTCGTCTCGAACGAGCCTATACCCTGAAAAGTACCAGCTCATAAAGCGAACACACCTCTTGTATCTTGTCAATCAGTGGAATGTGTAAGAACCATGTTGTTTTGTATCTATTGTTTAACAATGGAAAGGGCTCTTTATGCGTATATTTTCAACAACATTATTATACTACAGTGTATAATTATATACAGTTTTTATAAGTAATTGATCATATATTACTTATGATTCGTTTACAGAATACAACTTTGAAGTATAATAAAAGAGTTGATCGAGTTCCCTCAAAAAACGTAAAAGACTATTTGAATGGGTGTTAACACAAGGCGACACTTTTGAAATTGCATAACTATAGCACGTAAAAACTCGCATCCACATTTTCAAAGCGAATAAATGGGGTAGATTTTATAAGCATTAAAAAAAAAAAAAAAAAAAAAAAAGATTACCGTAACCTGCTATGTTGGGTAATTATACGATTTAGATCAGCTCATTGGTAATTTATAAGCTAAAACAATTAAAAAACAAGACGAAAATGTTGACAATTTACCTTTTAAGATAAAAATTATAATCAACTGTTTTCCGGTAAAATTTTCGTCCACATCACCTCTCACATGATCCCACTGATCCCATACACTGGTCACGAAATTCTCTTGAATTCACAAAACTAATCATACAACTATACAAGTCTCGCAACGAGAATCTCCTCGAGGATCCACAACGAAATGGCGGCTGATTTTACATCGAGTCGATTGGTATAACGTTACTTACGCATGCGGATTCCCCGTGTCTACTGTCGGGACTATATCGAGATTTCTACAGTGTCCCCCTCATGCGCAAATCGCAGAATCTCATCTCTGCGCAGATTCCCGATGTGAAAACACATGCCCCGGCGTACAGAAGAAAGCGCGCGAGAATCAAAAATATCGCTCTTTCACAAAAAAGATTTTCGTTGACATTTGAAAAATTACACTAATCGATACCAACAATCAATATTTAAAAAGCGAAAACGCATATACTCCTAATATACATATAATAATAGAACGCATATATATAAATAGAAATATAATGATATTTATCGTTCGCGTTGTGATAAGATCAAGGGAGAGCAGCCCCAGCATCGGTGGCAGTGCCCATCAAATGCAAGAAAAGCCAAACAGCGGAGTTGTAGCGACATCAACTCGTACGAAGACTAAGAAGAGACGAACGACCGACAAATCCCGGAAAAGTATCGATACCGCGGCCAAGGAAAAGACTGGAGCTGCGGACGCGAGCGACGCCCCCAAAAAACGATCCCTAGCCCTGCAGCGCGTCAGGTATAGGTACATAATGCTGTGGTATACTTATTCTCCTTTTTTTGTTTTTTTTTATTTTTCACCTCACACATATGACTCCAGAAATCTGTTACATCGCTTTATCTCGGTTTATCTGCGACGCGGTGAAAAATCATAATAAATAAAATGTAACTGCAGGTACGAGCGCGAGGAGTACCGGTGCTCGTTGTGCCCCTACGCTTGCACGATCGAGAAGGCCTTTCAGAGGCACCTGCGCGCCCACGCCCGCGGCACGGCTTCGGAAACGCGAGTCAGTTGCGCCGTTTGCGGTGCCGATCGCTCGTCCGAGGTCGATCTCAGCCGCCACATGCGCCGGCACCGCGACAACCGGTACTTTTGCTGCGACATTTGCGTCTTTCGCACGGTACAGCTGAAAAAGGTCCGTATGTACATATACATTTACATTTTCAGCCCTAATTTTACATTATCATGGCAATCAAAGTATTTTACATTGTCATTGGCACTGCGTTGACCATAAAGTTGTATGTACAATCGATGCAATCGTATTTTTTTTTTTTTTTTTTTTTTTTGTTAATTTTCATCGAGTGTACGTATATTGTCGTTTTGTCCATCGAAAACAGTTGATTCAGCACCGGCGGATGCACACGGGCGAGAAGCCGCACCTGTGCCCCCATTGCTGCTACAGGAGCGCGCGTCGGGACAACCTGCGGAGCCACGTGCGCCGCGTCCACAAGAAGGAGAACTTGTACTGCGACACCTTCAGCCCGCGGGGCGTGTTCATCGTGCCGAAGCTAGAGCAGAGGCCACCCGAGGGCGACGAGCAGCAGGTGGAAATCGAGGAGGAATCCGCGAGTCCAGCCTCGCCTCCGTCCGTCACTCGGTCGTAATCCTTGGACGCTCAGCTTATTTTTTGTTTTAAATACCTGTAATACCTACAATGCAATCGGTTTGGCTTATCTTTGCGAAACACGTCCAGTTAGTTTTTATTCGGGTGACGGATATTTTACGAGTCGTATACGTCAAATGTACCATGTGGTTTTATATGCATATAGATGCAAGCAATAATTATACCTACGTGTGTTATACTTACTACAATGAAAATCCATATGTGCTTGCAATCTTACATTCCAAAAGCAACTGTCAATTTGTTCGTCTCTTTTGAGTAATCGTGTATTAGGTATACGTACGTGCGTGAGGCTCGCGGGATTTCCCCGTAAAAGGGATTGCGGTTTGAAACTTTCAAGTCAATTTTTTTGCGAAGCAAACCGATCAGTCGTTGCTTTGTATCGCACAGCTAAAGATTATTAATTAACAATTAGATACTACGAATGGCTTAATTCTACAAAGTCCTCAATATTTACACTTTATGGTGCTTCAAAATGTGTCATCGCTTAATTAAATTGATTTTGACATTGAATTTGCGGTGATAAATAGACTGACGACACACTTGGTGATTTTAGACAAGAAAAGAAAGAAACAGCGGCCAAATAATAAGACTGTAGCAAAGTAATATAAAAGAGATTGATGATGCCCTGATCGAGAATATGATTGGTCTCTACATATTGTTGTACGTGTATGTGTTTCATAATTTATAAATTTAATTTTGATTAAAAAGGGAAAAAAATATCTACACTTCCTACGTACATAATATAATATACAAGTACTATTTATAATACGTGCGGTTCCGTCCGATTTTCCGTTCAATTTTTGCGGATTGTTGCTATAATTTCTAAGGTAACATGATATACATTAATCGTGATTATTGAGTGATATTATGCTCTTATATGTAGTTATACGATGAGATTATATATATATATTTTTTAAAATAAATATTCATTTACACAAGAAAAAGCGAGTGGATCGAATAAGTAATTAATTCATTGATGAGCCACAGAATTTAATGATTTAACGAGTCCTAATACATGGCTATGGATGTTATAAGTGATTTTTATTCTATGTTATGTGTATATCATAATTAATACTTCGACGGGCTAATGAGTAATTGAAGAAAAGACTGATACGTATTTTAATTGCTAACTCATCGATGTGGCCGGCTCTTATTATAAATTATATTAATATATGAATTGAGGCTCTCTGGACTGTAAAGTTGCGATGAATGGTAAAAACGAAAAAGTTCTTTCTGTTGTTTACTTACGATAAAATTTGGCGATTTGTCTGTTTGGAAAAATCGTACACTTTCGTAAAACGGTGATTTGAAAAATTTGCACTTATTGGGTAAAAGAAAAAAAGTGAAATTATCGTTCAGTTAAATTTTCCACGTTTAACGTCATACTGTAGTGTAAACAATTGATGTTACTCTAAAAATATATTACCACACAGATACTTTAATAATATGCAAATAATATATTTCTAAAAAAAAAAAATTTGAACTTTCCTGTAAAGTTTAAGAAGTTGTGCCAATATTTTCCGTCTATTAAAAAAATATGTTTGATGTGATGCTATTATTACTGCGAGTTCCATAATATTTCTTGTTGGTAATATTTACTGTATTATCATTGTATCACATAATTACCAATAACAATAACAATAATGCACACGTTATTTGGTAATAAAAAATGAAAGTCTTCAAGTGAACTGTAAAAGATTTAATAAAAATAAGTACATACATACGTATAAAAAAAAAATAGTTACATAATTTGATTTTGTTACTCGAATGATTTTCTGTTAAAAAAATAAAACGAAATCTCGAAACGTTTTTTATGAATAAATTTTACAAAGTTATAATTGTTAAAGTATAAAAATACTACTATTAAATTTTCTATATCTTATTCCGAAACCTCTATGTATATTAGCCTTCAACCCAAATTTCTATGGATGTGATTATAATGTAGAATTACAACGAAAAATACAACATATTAATAAATATTGGGAAAAACTTGCCTTATCTTTATAATAATTATTAATAAAACAAGTAATAATATTTGTTATTGTTCATTGGTGTTGAATATTTTTAAGTAAATCTTCAAAGTTGAAATTTTTCACTTGTAATTTAGTATTATATAATACATACTTCATTCGTAGGAAAAATTTCCGTAGTTTTACCAAAATTATGATCAAAGTAAGATTTTTTTATAAAATGAAAACTAAACACAAGTTTTAAGTTTTTTTTATCATGCGATAAAATAACGAAATACTATTCTCGAAATGATCGTCCAATTACAATGAATTTTATTATGTAAATAAAAAAGCGGTTATATATGTATAAATGAATAAATATATACGTATGTATACGACATTCGACGTTCCATTTGGCGATATTACGAATAAGAAAAGTTTACTGTTAAGCATATTACCAACGTCAATACATTTTTCGACGAGTGTTCGTGCAAATAAATGCTGCGAATTATACAATCTAAATGTGATATTTAAATAAATTATACATGAATTATATATATATACACATACAAAAATACCTACTTATAAGGAAACGACATTACGAAGACAACAGCTGAATGAGTGCCATCCAATCGTGTACAAGGCTTTTGTGATTAAAGTAAACGTACAAGTATGCTTTGAAGAAAATGATGGTTGGCTGACGATAGTCTTCGGAGTGAAGCACTATCTACAGTCACAAAGTTCCATTGGATGTACTTATTTCAATTTTATGGAAACGAAAAAAATGAATGAAAACAAAGTTGATGGAAATAAAAAATTGCAAGGAAAAATCGATGTGTATTTTAAAAATTCAATGTATGCAGCTTTACGAATAAACAATGAGTCAATCATTTAAGCAAACTTGGTCAAATTTTTTCCTACCCTTTGGTGCAGTACATGGATTATCTGAAAAAATACGACTAATCGTACTGTTTTGGAAAATCGAACAATAGAAATGGATTTTAAAGGCTTCAACAATAAGCTTAAAACTAGTCAGTCACTTTTGTTCAAGTAATTTTTGATATAATAAATAATAGTTTTGAGAAAATCGTATTTGTTAAAAACATACATGGTTTGAGGTGTAATTTTTCAAGTAAATAAAAAAGTTTTATAAAGCGATGAAAATAAAATGATTAGTGGAATCGACATATTTCTTCAATTGTAAAAAAAAAAGTTAGCAATTTATGGATATTATTTATCGTAGAATACTTGATATTTATCCAATAACTTACATTTTTCCACAGCTCGGATCAAAAGTGTGAAGACACCAATAATGTCATTATCTCTAATAATTTGCAAGAAGTATAATTTTGTAGACTTTCGGCCCCCGTTTTCTTCATGACGTGTACAGTATATGTAGCGAGTCCAACAGGACCGACCGATTCGAAATGAACGATCAAACAAATTTAGCAAAAATTACATCATAATAATCTTTCGAAATTGTTATTTAGTACTCACTCGTTTCGTATATTCTTTTAAATTTCATTATTCCTTGGGATTGAAGAATCTGAACGAACAAAATTACATGTAAAAAGGATTTTTGGGTTCTCACTTGAGTAAAGTTTCTTGTTTTTCGAAACGGAAGTTGTAAAGACCGACATCTCCGAGACAACCTGTGGATGCCTTAAAAAAAAAGTCCCGCGCGCCATCACCGCGAGAACCGCGAGAAACGAGGAACAAGGGAAATAAGTTACTTATGACGAATTCGGTTCCAAAAATTATTTTAAATGCGTCCTCTGTTTCTACCGATATTGTATTACTGATTTTCTTGGGGGTCATATTCATACAATCGACATAAGATAACTGACTCTCGCCGTAATTTTTTAAAAGAGTACACGATACCAATGAACAACTTTTATGATTACACTTGTTTACTTCCTCATGCATATTATAGTTATAAAAGAAATAATAAGATAAAAGGTATGAATATATGTATGTACAAACATGTGCTTTCAAGATCAGTATTATTTTCAGTTGACTCTTCCCCCCCTCTCTTGATATCATAGATATCTATTTATAACTAGTCCGAAAAGCTGGAATCCGGGCACTTACAAATTCTGGGATTTTAGCTAAATAAAATAATATTGCCGATTGCCGCATCAGGCGTATATATATCGTATATTGTATCAAGACACGGAACACGGATCAAAGACTCTAATAGACCAAGAGCAGAGGCCGGAGGGTAGTCAAAACCTTAACCAGCCGCCACTCTCACCAGAATTGAGGAACCTTATGATTTGCGAAGGTCCAAAATATTTTTGTCATATTTTATTCTGGTGAAGAGTTTCGTCGGTATTTAAGAAGTGCCATAAAGATTTTGACCATCCCTCCGGAGTCCGGCCACAGTTCTTGGTCTATAATATATAAGAACATGCACGGACACTGAATGGACCAGCAGAACCACACCACCAGAGACTAATCTCTGACACCACCTACAAAGGGTTGCCCAAAAGTTGTATTTGCTAAGTATATGTGTATACGTGGAGCTGGGCCGGGGAGCTGCTAGGATGTCCAACAATGTCCTCTCCGGGACAGAGCTCTTAACCTTACAAAGTTAATAGAGAAAAAGGCTCTAATAGATATCTAGTGTACTACACTTATATCTATTTGCCAAATATATATATATGCTTTCATGCATGCTTTGTGCATTTTGATACTAGCTTATTATACTTTACGTATTATATAGTATTTTAAATACATCTGTATGTAAATTTGTAAAAATACACACTGGGAGAGCGAAAGGGACAGAGAGTACCGAGCTGCAAGCGCCAAGCGCCGTTGCGCCGTGCGTGCATGTGCAAAATTGCACATATATGTATACACACACATACCCCGTCCGTCCTGTCCGATCAGCTGTTAGTTCGGACTGTTCGGAGGTATACCTTCCGACGACGACGAAACACATATATAGCCGAGAAAATGCTCATTTTCTTGATTAATGACAGTTTATTTTAATAAATGCCTTAAGTGATGAGTAAAACTCCAAGTTCAAGGTGATAACTAATTCTTAAGGTAAAGGTGACGGCCACGTGTATACCTATATATGTGTTTTTCATTACTTTTTCTTCAAAGAAAGATATCCTTTTTTTTTTACCATTAATATGTGGTCTGATCAGTGGAAACGTTTTCGAGAATAATTACTGTGACTGTGTGTTCTTATTTTGATTACATTGCATTACAATTTTGAATAAGGTTCAAGTTGTTATAAAGATCAAATTAGATAAAAATTTGTAGGAGATTTATAAGAAATAAAACACGAAAATTTTTGTTGTAATGCAAATTATATATAAGTACATTCATTAAAATAACAAGACAATCAGCAGATTTATTTTCACTTTATATTTGTGTCTCTTAAGATTACCTGCGGTTTCATAGATCTCCTAGTATCTCCTTTCAATTTCATTGCTCTGTATTTCTACTACACTACATCGTGTTTAGTATCCTTTGACTTTAACAAAGACATAACATCGTGAATAATTCTGCACAGAAATAGATTAGTCGCCATCATAGCATATAGTACAATTTTGTTTTAACTCGTGTTCACAGTGTGAAAATAAAATTTAATCAAAACAGAATCATTTGCTGCCATAATTGTATCGATTACTACACTTAGTCTGTAACAGTGAAAAACGACTTTGTTCCCATCTTACTATTATCTCTTATCCTGTAGTTTGAATTCTATTAATTAAATTTTTTTTATCATAACTACAATTACAAACACTGCTTCTTTACCACTATAATTTTAAATTTATTTCGTTTAGAAATAGAGCACAGGATTTTTCGAATGACCATCATAAGACAAATTGAGCAGGAACGGCTGAAAGGGGAGTATCCAAGGGAAGTTATCGAGATTTCTTCGGCATGACTAACAGCAGTGTTAGTAGCAATGCTGGAGCTGCAGAATTATTTCACATGCTTGAGTCTAACAAACTCATTGATGTTGAAGAAACCAAAAAAATCTTTCACGATCATTTTCTATCCAGTGAGTACTTAGCATTGCTGTCATTTTTCTCAAACTTTTACTTTTGAAGCCTTTAGCAACATTTTTACTATGAATGAATTTCAGTCAAGGATAGCTGGTTGGTAAACGGATTATTTGATTACTATCTCTCTACTGACTCACTGAGAGCTGTTGAGGTTCTAGCAGGTGTAAGGGAACCACATGATAAACACTTGTTTGACAAGCTGACTGAAACACTTGTAGCTAAACCTGCCAACAATGGACAGAAGATCCGGACACTTGTTCTGCTGGGCCATGTGGCAAGGAGACAACCCACCTGGCTCTACAAACTGGCTAGTCACACGCTCTTTAAACAGCTACTTCATTTACTCAAGGTTTTTATATTATTTTTTTTTGTGTTGAATAATAAATTTATTTAAATCAATTTAATAGTGCATATATTTAATGGTACCCATATTCAACAAGTACTGATTTTTATTTTTTTTATTTTTTCAGACGGAAGAAGACATAGTATTGCTAATGAGTGCGCTTCTCTTATTAATAACTTTATTGCCCATGTTACCAACAGCACTTACATCACACTTGCAGGAGATATTCGAAGTATTTTCAAGGCTTGCATTGTTTCACTACAATCAACTTATGTCATTTTCATCTGCTAACTTTAATAACACTTCATCAGCACCCACGCCAAATTTTATTGGTGACAGTGACGCAGATAAATTACACTATATTCATTTACAGGTACACCTATTTATCTACATTTTTATGAGCAGAGTATCGTTTGACAGAAAAAAAATATACCTTGAATTTCTTTTTTGCTTTAGATTGGGCTACAGCATCTGTTCCATAGACTTTATGCCATGTATCCATGTAATTTTGTCTCGTTTTTGAGACACCAATATAAGAGGGATCAAGTATCGATTTTTAAAAAAATAATCAGTCCAATGTTAGATTCCGTTCGTATGCACCCGTTGCTCGTTACAATGTCTAAAGATTCGGAGATATCTTCATCCAGGTACAATAAGAACAGAAAGCTCGATACAGTAAAAAATTAAAAGTTGGATCTAATTTATCGACAATTATAATTATTTTTTTCTACTGGTAGGTGGAAGAAAATGGAGCATCACGACGTTGTTGCAGAATGCGGTCGATTTTCGGTATTAGAAAAATCGAGTCGAGACGAGGCCTTACCATATACCAACAATCGCTTTACTCCGATATCAGATTATTCCTGCCCTTATACACCGATGAGCACCACCTCGGAATTTCCTGTGGCAACTGATTTACCAAACGGCAATCGGGAAAGTTTCTGGTCACCAAGTATGGTTGTGCCAGCTCACAGTCCGACACCCACGAGCTCACTCCAGGCAACGCCAATACCATACGACATGAAGTCCGCGCCATCTACCCCCGGTGGTGGTTTGGGGTCTGGAGCTGCTACGGGTCCCGGTGCCGGTGGCCGCAGTCGAATTTCGCCCCCCGAGGCTGCTGTCGAGGCTACGCCCGAAACTACCCCTGTTAAGGTGTGATCAATATTAAAAAAGCAAATTCAACGATATCGGTTTGACTCTTTGTTAATTTTTTATAGGATCTTAGGCAACCTGTAAGACAGATGCCAGTAGGTTCTGCAGCGGTCCGGGCGCTCGGTAGTTTCAGCAACGGATCGGGCCACTTGAGTTCGAGCCGACCCTCCACACCTGTGACCTTTAATTTTAACAATCATCAGCATCCAACCCAATACCATTCCACCCAACTGGCAAGTTCGTCCTTTTCACCGCTAGCACAGCTTGGCGAAGGTGGTACTTCGATTATAGACCGCAAACTGGGCAAGCTCTTAGCCGAAAGACAAAGGGCCCAGATTGGTGGTAACACGAAACAAGATGATGATATTATTGTTAAGAGAACGTTGACTCCTGTGGCTAATGAACAATCGATCGGTGCTGTGATCAACGGTCGTCCCGAACCTTGGCAACTCAGAGAAACGCAGCTCGAAGATCAAGAAGTGTCGGATATTGTTTCGTCGACGAGAAAAACTGCTTTCGGCCATAAAAACGTTTCCGATAAGGATCAAGCTTTAAAAGATTTATCACGCAAGGTGCGCCTAAAGTTCTACTGCAAATATCCAACGCCGCCGGTAACAGCTCAGGTCAGTTTAAAAATTTTTTTTACGGCTATTAGCATAATTTTTACAGTAATTAACTGATAAACGATACTTTAAAAAAAAAATCAGATTCGACGTCGATCTAAATCCTGTCCAGATGTTTCAATGTTTGCAACAATCTGCAACGAGCGTGGCAGTATCGGTGTTTCTACGACTTTTCGGCCTTTAAAGCCTGTCTCCTCGTCAACCTGCGGTGTCGTGCCTTACGAGTGCTTTTTTCACGACCTTGTGGAGTTGCGACCGCAGTCAGTCGTCCCGTTTACGACAACAGCATCTGTGGCGCCGGTGGAGTCGATAACTCCGAGTTTCAGCGCGAACGAATCTAGATTATCGCCTAGCGCAATGCTGGACCGATACATCGAAGTCTGCGCAAACAGTCATCATTATGAAAATAAGTCTAGTGAGCCCATAATTTACTTTTTAACGCTTATTGTCTAAAATATGCAAAGTTAATGATGTGAATTTGATTATTCATCTAGGACCTTCATCTAGACCGAATTGGTCGTCGAGTGGCAGACAATCAAAAATGGACGACGAAGCTGAAAACGGTGGACCGCATCACCCGTCGAACGATGAAGCTAACGATTCTGGCTACTGGAGGGAAATCGACCGAGCGAACCAGCAGATTCAGTTGATGCAAATTCAGCTGCAATTTGAACGCCAACGCAGGGAGGTGCACGCCGAACGTAATCGCCGACTGCTTGGTAAACTACGCGATTCGCGTGCTCTTGAAGAAATAAATTCCTCCATGGTGAAGAAATTACTTCAAATTTTTGCAGCAATTGAAATTGTCACGCTTCTAATTGTTCCTCGTTACAGACGCATCGGCTAAAATTAGCTGAGAACGAAGTCGAAACGTTGAAAAGCGAGATAATTGCAAGCAAAAAGGAAGCCCGAGCAGTTGAGAATCAACTTGCAGAAAATGTCAATATTTGGCAGACCAAATGTAAAGACGAGCAACAGCTGAACATGCAGTTGAAAGACAAAATCGAAATGTTGGAGGATGGGCTGAAGAGCGAGAAAAAAAAAGTGATAGAGCTCGAGAAACAAACACGAGCCTCGGAGGCTACCCTCTTTGAAGCTGCGCATCAGCTTAAAGAAGCCTTGAGAGCGGCTAATCAAAGCGAGGAGCTTAAGCGCGTGCTAGATGGTGTGCAAAAGAGGTTTCTTTTACTTGGAGAGGTATTATTTTAATTAATAAAGAACCATTCGATTTTGACCGTTTTTTTTTACTGTTTCAATTTATTTAAATAGGCACAAGCTAGAATTCAAGAAAAAATGGTGGTTCCTGTTAATATGACTAGGCAAGAAGTGGCCCTAATGCAGAGAGCTTGGTCAGAAGAAGTTTCTAGTAAGTATGTTTGTAATATTTGAGAATCAACATTCGTACAAACCCAAAAATTGTGTCGCTTTTTAGATCTCCGGCGTCTTCTGGATTCACAAACGCTTCAGCTCGAATCGCTTAAATCTCGGCTAGTCGAGTACGAACACAGAGACGCACGTAAAGAAGTGCAGCTGGTCGATCAACAGAGACTCTTGCAGGAATCTAAAGAGAAGCATTCTGCCGAGCTCGAGGCTGTCGAGTCCAAGTACAAGGCTCAGGTAGAAATAAATTTGCTGCTGGAGGGCCGTATCCTTGAACTACACGGTAAATTAGAGCAAGCCACGATGTGCAGTTCGAGTGGTGCCTCGACATCTCTGAATCTTGCTTCTTCGGCCTCGCCTAAGGAACGCTCGCCACCGCTTTCGGTGAGCTTGGCCTCGTCGAGCGAAGGCAGCCTTGCGTTCATTCACTCGGCTATGAACGACAGATACTGCGACACCGCTGGAGAGATCGCGAACCTGCATGCCATTGCCGAACCCATCCAGGTTACACCGAGCACAAGCAGTACTGCCATAGCACAGCAACAGCAAAAAAGCTCTAAACTGTCTTCTGTCAGACATCAAAGGTAGAGACAATGTGAGAATGACGAATGTTTAAATTTTTTTTTTTTTGTTTTTTTGATATAGCGTTGTGGGTGAGCATCGATGAGTGGTTATTCTCGCGTGGAAGAAAAATGAAATGGTTGTTTTTTTGTATTTGCGGAGAAAAGGAATTTTTGTGTACAAATGAAAGATTTATTGAAATGAATTTTGTGAAGCGTTATTTATATGTTTTAGTGCAAGTAGGAGGAGTACACAAATACGACAAAATGTTTACACGAATGCGTAAACGATATATAAGTATCAAGTTTTTGAATACCACGATAAAAGATATCTGCGACTTAATCGCTTTAAGTTAAGTAATATTTTGTAAGCAAATTCTTCATTTTAATTTATTTTTTCCCCTTACAAATAATGTTAAGTAGTTGTCAAACTTGAAAATGTCTATCAATATAACTTAAATTTTCTTCCATATACTTCAACAATGGGTTCTCAAGTAATAGTAGTTACGTTTCTCTATCTGGAAGTTATTTAGAATTGTCTGAAAACTTCAGTTGATAGTTGCATTCTCACTCTCATGACACAACACTTGAATGGGATTGTCTGGGATAGTGACGTGAAAAAACTTTTTTTATCTATAATTTAATAAGAATATTGTTTTGTAAAAATAATTTTTTTTTATTCACTACCATTTGAATTCTACACATTTTAAGTTAAAAATGTAATTAAAAACAATTGTTGGAATTGTTCGGTAACATTTCATGGAGTATAGATTTTTTTAAATATGAAATACAAAAAAAAATATAGTTTTTGATCGGGACGTGAATACCGATTGAATCAACTTTCAAAATGCGAAACCAAGCTTTTGCTAATGTGTGCAATGTGAAATTGCATTTTCAAAATCTAGAAAATTTTTTGATCAAAGAAATTTTCAATTTATTGTTTTAAATTAAAAATGTAATTTTATAAAACTGTAATACAGCTAAGCTAATATTTAATGGAGTAATCATTTTTTTAAATATGAAATACAAAAAAAAATATACATAAACTGTATGAATACAGAAAATGATATTATACACGCGTATGTAAATAAAAATAAGGAATGAATTTAAAAAATAAATTCTGTTCCTTATAATTTCATTTAACTACTATTTGCTAAATTAAATTAAAACGGGAGATCTTAATTCTAAAAATAATAATTCAAATTTACCTATTTAAATTGGTGAACTGTGTTTTTGAACAATTCATTGCAAAAAACTGCTAATGAACCGGAAGCCTGGCTTTTATACATTTGCTTATAATATATTTTTGGATCAATTATAACGAATACTTTACGAATCATCAAATAATCAACATTTATACTATCTTTTTGAACATCAATATTTTTTTTTTTTTAAGTTTTCCTTTTAATCGCATCTCAGACACAGTTCAATTCCATAGCTTGGTAAAATCACGTACACACATTTAATTTATGAGCACAGCCTCTCTAACGCGCATGCACACAACATGGAACTTGATCATTTGACACAATCATTACTATGCACTCTTAAGAACGAAGGACATCACCATTATTGCGTCTTTTTGTCCTCCTTATTGCTCACAGTGTCCGTGCCCTCTATGGCTTTTTTATTTTTTTCGTCCTTTAATTGAGCTTCCATTTCACCACTGAACCCAAACTCGTTGACTCTCTTGTGATCAATCTTGTAGATCCAACGTTGATACAAAAAGATAAAGAAGACAATATCATCGCGGAAGCAGCCAAGCCTGTACAGAGTTGGCATCTTGATTATGAAGGCAAAGATGTCATCAATGAAGGTGTTCAAGAACTTGTAGGACATCATACGCCAGGGCATGTGAGCCACACTCTTAAGCTTGTAGTTGATGAACAGCTGGGGTGTCATGGCAATGAAGCCAAAGGTAAGGAGGAAGCCATAAAGCATACTAAGCACCCACGTATACCAGCCCCTGTGTTCGAGGTACATGAGCGAATAGACGGCATAACCACCAAGAAGTGGGAACAGAGCCCATGATAGATACTTGAAGGCCAGTCTGTCGTACTCTTTTGTCGAGGATTCGACGTACGAGCTTTTGTCTTTAAAGGTCAGTCGGGGAAAACCAAGGATGCGTCGTGTGCGATCGAGTTTTATGTCTACGACCTTGTTGATCTTCCACACCTCAATGGCCATACCAATGCCGCAGCTTATACGTACTAATGTGTTTGTTTCATTATCTAGCACATAGAGGAGAACAATGAGCGATTGGAAAACATTAAAGAAAACTGATCCTACTGAAAGACCCTCCAAGGATTTGCGGTTATTCCAAAATTGAATGTCTGAAAATTAAAAAAAAATTCATCCAGTTTTCGAACAATCTTATTTGACATTAATATTCAAATAGGAACTAAGATAAAATTTACCATTCTTAAATGCTAAAAATTCGAAAACGCTGTGAAATATAGAAACAACTATGGTCATGCCAAGTAAGTAAGGATTTGTTTCCAATAACATTTCCTTTAATGTGTCTTGATCATTATTATCCTCTTCTGACGTATCACCTAGTTGTATGAAATCGACACTCATTAATTAGGTTTAGGAACATTATTTTACCTAATCTCGTAGAAAATTTATCATGTAACATAGACTCGAGAGCGTCCAAAAATAACTCACCAAGAATAGATTGGACAGTCCATTTATTTCTCATTGTGTGAGCAGCAAATAATTGCCACTTAAACAATGAAAGAGGTTGATAAGTTAATCTCAATTCAAGTTCCGTTATAGTATTATTCAAAGGTTGATAGTCTCTTTGCATATTCCAAAAGTCGTTCATGAAAATAATAGGTTTGTAAAATTTACCATTGGATGAAAATTCAATATCTGAAAGATGAAAGTGATGTAATATTATCAGTCACATCAAAAATAGTAGACATAAAATCAATGTATAGCTTACATTCATCCAAGGGTGAAGGTACTTGGCCTTGTACCCAGTTTGTTTGATCAGTAACCAAATTTATAGTCAAGTTTGGATGCCAGTGTGACACAATTTCTTGGTCCATTATTTCAGCTTTCTGCATAGAACGATGTTTTAATTTTCATTATAAAAAAAAACAAGTTTCTAAAAATTCTTAACTGACCTTAATCTCTTCTTCACTTGCTTCAGTTTGTCCAGTCAATAAATTATGTGTTTTTTGGTATCTAATTTTCTTAAACTTATTAAGTATTTTTTTAGTGTAAACAAGCATATCCTTGGAATGTAAATTTTTATCAGACGAGGCATATGGTGATTGGCCATTCATTGTGATGTAAACGTGCAAATATATCGAGCCATTGTTCAGTAAGTTGGAAGAGGGTGTAAATTTGTGAATCCAAACCCTGCTTCCATCACCATCAAGTCCACTGTACCAATCACCGTAAATCAAACCATATTCTGCCCATATTTTTGCATTAGAATTGTTGAAATCATTGAAAATTTCAGACTCAGATAAGTAAACATGCAAATCAAATGCTGTGCCATTGGCAAAAAGATTAAAAGCAGAATTTGGTGCTGTGGCCCGACTCCCATTGCTTTGCGTGGTTGGTGCAGCTGGTCTTCTAAAGAAAGAACTGATGAAATAAATGATCAAAGCCCTGATGATCAAGGTTTTAGTGGTGGCAAAAAATGACTGGGCAAAGCTGTCTTTTTGTGGCCCTTGTCTTTGCTCCCCTTCCTGATTCTCGACCTAAAATAATATAAAATTTAATTGTTATTTCATACATAAAATTCATGCTACACAAGGCTAAGTCGATGATTGCTATGGTTAATTTGCTATTCTATAAAAAGTATTCCATGCTGTAAATGCCAGTTTTCCCATATGTGAAAAATGTACAAAGATTTTTGCAAAACTATTCCTTGCGATTCTCCTAAAATATATTTGTACTATAGTTAATGTACATGCATTCTAATAATTCAAGCAAAATCTCAATTTCATTGAAATAATACTAGGAGTATCTTCAGCCAAATACAGAATGTTAATTAGTTAATACATAAAAATTCACACGAGCAAAAGAAGCGATTCAGCTAATTTCTGCTCAACAACAAATACTTAATGGACAGATAAATAACCCTTGAATCTATAAGTTAAAAATGCTCTAAAAGTATAAGCACGTGACTTACACGTAATACATAATAATCATCTAAATCTCAAGTTTGAATAAGTAGGAGAGCGTGAGCTCTTAAAAATCTCGACTCACATTCTGTTCACTTTCAACGGGCACAAGCTCCCCGTTGTTTGAGTCCGCCGCATCCTGAGGCTGAGCTTCCTGGTCCGTAGCCTCACTCTCGCGAGTCATCCTCACCTCTTGATTCGGTCAACACGTCAACAGGCAACACCTACGAACACGACACGCCTAATTTTTCTGCGGTCGGTCTATCCCCGGACGGACGACCAGTTTTAATTGCTTCTCCTGCAGACGACGTTGATGTATTCAATTGGTAAACCGTAACCCAAATATATTGCTTCTTGTATTGAACACGTTAAACACCTACTTTTCTTTTTAATTTTTATCATCCGACGTGTCCACATCGACCGAACAACGGCGACAAAGCAAATGTGACTACCCTATAACTATACCTATAGACTAAACTTTAATTATTAAGCGTTTTTTTTTCTTCGTGGCAACGAAGAGCCGAGTTCAGCCCATCAGCTGCGCATATATGGGGGCTAAGCGACCGTGGCGTGGCGTTGATTGGTTCCACCATTTACGGTTGCCTTCAAAAGAAAAGTGCGTACGTGTGATCGATGTGATATAAATTTATGTACAGGTATACACTGCCAATTAATTGATAAGATTTGTAAATGGTAATAAATGGTGACTGTCTATCTGCCATCTACTTGGATATTGGTACTCTCCCATAGGCATACCTAAGGTGTGTTCCAGTAACGCTCTCCGACAACTTAATTATGTCTTACGATATCTTGCGTCATGTTTAAGGACGGATTCACACGGAACATTGGAATGGTATTTATAACCCAATAACACGGAAACGCTGGAATGGTAAAACCCCACATGACCCAATAAAATAGGAACGTTGGAATGGTATAACCCAGTAACCCCATAACACAGGAACGTTGGAATGATATAACCCCATAACACAGGAACGCTGGAATGGTAAAGCACAGGGTGTATTCCACACAATCCCCAATCAACGCCAGCAAGTTACATACATTATGTACGATTTCAGTGCCTAATAGCAGCACTATCGCCACTGCCCTAGGTTAATCTAGTTTCAAAAACGGCGAGAGAATTAAGCAATTAAGTGAATCAATTAAGGCTCGTGGTTGTCAGAGCGCCACCAGCTTTTTTCTATTCTCTCACATTGTGGCGTGATTTTGAACTTTCGAGAGAAGGCTCTTTCAAGGGCTGATCCACTGTACACATGTGGTTCTATAACCAACCACGGTCCACGGTTAGTTCTATATTGCGAACGAGAATGTGTATATTTTTTTAGATTTACAGTTTTTTTATGTATAATAAATAACACTGTAGTACAGCATAATATATAATAGTAATAATATATATAGTCAATTATTATGGCATTGTTAGGGAAACGAGAGGATCGAATACATGTGCCCTGGTCATCTGCGTAAGTAAATAAACAAATTTCGAAATGTCAGATTTATTATAAACTATTAAGTCTTTTTATAAGTTTATTCATGACACATTCATCATTTAATGATAAAGAGAAACACTCGAACATAATTTTGTACATATGTTTTTAGGGAAGAATGGCTTCAAGTTTACAAGCAGATTTATTCTGGCGATTTGACAGAGCAAAACAAAGCCTACGAGACTCTCCTCGTGTGGAAAGCAAGGTTGTACAAATTAAACTAAATACTGTAAGGATGCAGTTCACTTTTGTTGAATAATAAGTGACATCGACTAATTTTACTTTTAGGATAACCAAATTACCCGTTGGCATAGAATGCACACTAAATTTATTACAAGTTTGTCTACGGGATAGAGAATGGACTCCAAAAATTTACACTGGTAAAATTCCAGTATCCTATGAAAACGACTTACGTATGCTGTATTCGACTGTAATCATGAAGTTTTTAAATTACGTTTCTAATATTGCCAACAATAAACAAACATCTCTCTTTGTTGTGGCAAAACAAATGAATATTCCTGATTGGATTGTTGACCTCAGACATGATGTAGCTCATGGTCATGAATTGCCATCAATTGATGTTATGAGAGTTGTAGCCAATATATTACTGTCTTGGGTGCATGTAGGTAGTTTGTTGTATACAAAATTTTTTACTACATTTTTTAAGCTAGGAACGTTTCTTTTTTAATAACGTTGCAGGAAGAATATTGGGCAGAAGAAGCTAAAAATTTTGAAGAATCTGAAGATGCATCTGGTGAAAAATGTTTTGAAGACGAGGATAATTTTATTAATTTAATTGAACTGTGGATAGCAGTTAAACTATACTTGAAGACAGACCACGTTCTAATATCAGATCTTCCGGATACTGAAATAAGGTTGGTGGTAGAATCAACATAACTTACAACTCAGAATACTATTAACTTTAACCTAAGTAATTTATTTTTCACCTTCGCCCCTTTTAGGGACACTTTGAATAATTCACTAGCTCGGCTTAACGCCAGTGATAGCTCTAAAGGGATAGCATTAACCATTAGTGATGATACAGAGCTTACAACTGTATCATTGTTGTTACTGTCCGAAATCTCAAAAAATTTCAACAGAGGTGATTCTCTGATAAAAAGAGAAAAAATGATAATCGATTTAATAGTTAATAACGAGGCATTTCTAACAAATTCCGAAATTTTATCGATATTTCTCAACGACGAGAACGTGAAAAATTGCTTGCCACATTCATTGATAGAATTTTGGAAAGATTTGCTTCTTTTATTGCAAGAAAAAAAAATGTTGCTATCTTTATTTTTACATCTACTAGAAATGGTTAACAAAGAAAAAGATTCCGACAGAAAACTTTTGATTTCTTTATGGATAAAATGTATTGCTCAAGCTTACAACAGACAAAAAATAGCCAGAAACATATTTCAAACTTTGGAGCAAAAATACGATCACGAAAATCAAAAAAAGTCGGTAAGAGATATTTTAAAAGCTGTACAAAAGGAAGTCGATAAAAACTATCCAGAATTTAAAAGTGTTCTATGTCTCAATGTGAATGGCAATTTTCCAAAGTGTTTGACAGACGAAAAATTCATAAGACGTTTAGTTTTAAATTTCAACGAATATTCAGAACACTACTTGCCTGAGATACTAAAAATATCTTCGTTTCTCGAATGCGATGCTGCTGCTAAAGAAAAGATACTAGCTCTTATAAAAATAAACTCGACAACTGAAAACAATGATAATATGGATTTTGACGAAGTAGAAGAAGAGGATAAAATATTTACAGTCAAAGATTTACAAAAAATCGACAAGTCAAAAGAAGACATTTCAAAAAAAACTAAGTGCCACAAAGACTTGGGAGATTGCAAGATACGTAATAAGGACTGGAAAATTGCGTCAAGTAAAAAAATTTACTTCGAAAATTCGTCTTAAAAATTTAAGGTTGCAAAAAATTTTTTCCTGACTAAAATAATATTATTCATTCCAGATGAATATGACTGGAGCACGTGTCCAATTGGAATACTGCCATGGCAAACGGAAGATGTTCAATCAGACAAACTACTTACGGTTTCACCATCGGAAGTTCATTATGCCATTGTCAAGAATTTGGAACTTCCAAAGATCGTTGATTCCACCAAGCTTAAACTCCACAGTAAAATTAAATGGGAAAATCTGCTGAAAAAAAAGAAAAAAACCAAAAGGAAATCGAAGCTCGATAGTTCAGTAGCAGCGGAAGTTGACCAATGTGTGGGCAACACAGAAGTGCTGGAAAATAACGCTTAATTGTGAGCTTAAAAAGTACGTTCAAATTGTATAATATTACCTCAAAACAATTTATGAAATTTTAATGTATTTTCTTTCAAATTTTTGAAACGAAAATTTTGTTTGAATATCTTGGATCATCGATAATATGGGTTGGAAAATATTAAAATTGCGTGTACATAAAATAAACATTTCTTTTATTTGATTCGTATGCTAAATTATAAAAAATAAACATCATAAACTCAATATAACCATTTTTACCCCTGTTTATAAGATACATGTTAGATATGACTATTAACAAGTAAAAAAAATCAAAACATTCACCATAGAGCATAACAAATGTAATGAACACACGCAATAATCAAGACTTTTAATTATTGAAATTAACCTGCACATACATAAAAAAACTATTTAATTTCCCACTTAGGCACCACTGGTGTATAAAAAATAAATGTTCGCATAAACAAACTCGAGCAATATTATAGCATAAATTATTATCTTGATAACTATTAATTTAACATTTTTTATAGTATAGAAAAATATGATGTAATTTATAATGTACTTTTGACAACGAAATTCGCTTTCAAAAATATTTTTAATTACTTTTTCAAACTAACAAAAAATCCAAAAATCATTCAACAAATTTTTTCATAACTCATCACAAGATGGATTTCTTTGGCGTTGAAATACGGGTAGAAATATATTATTTTTTAAAAAGGAAAGTTATGCTTATCGGTAGTACGCGATATTTTCAAAACTTCTTGTAACTGTTTCCTAGATTCTAGGCCAAAACCATCTAAAGGTACTCGAGACATAGCAGCCACTCTGAAAAATTTCAAGTTTTTTAAGTATTAGAAAAATTTTTATTTTAAATTATTGAAAAATTGTATTCACCTTCCACCAGATAGATTATATAGAAATTTCCAATATGAAACTCTCAAATTTTTCGGCTCCATTATAGCTGCATGGAATAATACTGCTGTGCTGAAGCAATATAAAAACTTAACAAACCATTTAACTTCAGGTACTTGTCCACTTTCAACTCCATTGTTCCACAGCATCTAAAACAAAAAATTGGTATTTTAAAAATTAAGAGCAATTGAAAATTAAATTAATGATTTTTTTATGAAATTAAGTTAATTACTTGAAGAGCTTTCCACGCGAAATAAAGAGCAATAGTGTTACTTGGATACATGTAAAAAGACATACTGGCTATTAAACCAGCAGGAATAGCATATCGTGGAGAGTCTTTGTTACATGCTCTTCTCAAAGAACAAGACACCATCTATAAAGAGCATTCTATTTATAAGTAATTTTTCTTTTAAAGCCAAAAAACATCATTTCCATTCATGACTTACTTTGTACAAACTTGCAAACCCTCCAAGAAATAGAGCTAGATCAAATGTTCCTTTTTTAAAAAGAACTTTTTTGAAGAGATGAGGTTTTTTAAACAATTTTTCCATACTAAAAACTACATTTAGTACCATTTGTACCCCTAAACCCAGGCTAAACATTTTGTGAGCACCCTGAAAAATTGTGAAAAACAATCAGTACAATACAGTATCTTGTAAAAAAACCATTTTTGCACAAGTATGATCATGTACCCCTAAAACATAATGTAAACAACTGTTTGGATGAGGGCATGTCGTATGTTTACCACCCAATGTTTTTATTTTGTTGATCATCATTTCATACACTTTTAATGCTTTGTATACTAATTTCAACATTGAATTGATAGGCTTTTCTCTTCTACCAGAATTTATCTTGCTACTTGATTGTTTAGTATCAACAGTGATATTCCTTTCCTTGTATGCTTTTGTTTCACATGGCCCAACTATGAACCTATTTTGGATAATTTATTTTAATGAAACATTTGGAACTATACGATTGCATAAAATAAAATATTTGTGAAACACGTTTCCATTAACCTGATTATTTTATATATAGAATCATCAATGTTACTTTTACTTCTAAATAAATACAACAATGTTGTTACTCCAGCAGCAAATATATAAATTTCCCCTCCTGGAATAGCAGATAAATATCCTCTTGAAACCGCCATTCTGAATAAAGTTTCTGTAGCCTGAAATAGTATTGAAATTCATTATTAATTTACTACAAATTTTGCCGTGGTTAAACGATCAACGATAACTTACAATATTTGAAACATACAGGCACAACATAGGATGCCTTGAAGGTCTCTCTATAAAAAGTGCGGTAAAACTGGATACAAATGAAGGCATGAAGGAAACCGATATTACATTGAAATTGCCAAATAGCTTCCTGAAAAATAGTGTAGATTTGTATTTTAAAATTTTTTTTTTTATTTATTTATTTTTTTTCATCTGATTGAACAGACTTACCTAAATACACAAGTAAACATTGAAAAAGTAAATGCACTCCATGTCAAAAAAGCCGTAGATTGCATTATACTTAAAAAGGTTTTTTTCATATCACTTACTGTTGGAAGTCGTCCTTTTGTCAGCAAAGCAATCTGAAAAAGATAATCAGAACAACGAAAAGACATTAATTTTACAAAAAAAAAATTTTCACGCAAACACGGTACTTGAAGTAAAAAAAAAAAAAAAAACAATCAACTTTAATTTAATATCCTTCATCATAACCTTATGAATCCCAAAGCAAATTAAGTTAATTTCAAGGAGATGGTTCAAGGCCACAGTATACCTACTCACCAAGTACAACATGGAGTATATCCTGAGACTCTCCTGCAGTGCATAAAGCCCAAGGCCAGTCGATGCATTAATACACGAATTGGTCCAAGGATGCACGTAATCCTTGCAGGTGGCACTAATGGCAAATTTGCTCAATCTTGTAGGCATTTTTCTCTAAAATAAAAAGTTTTCCTTGATACGTTTAATTTCAAAGAGCACCGATTTAAAGTCTCAAATCATAAAAAATACGTGCAGTAAAGTAAAAAAACTTCTTGAATAGATGTCCTTAGCACTTGATTAAATTAATACATAAACTTAGAAATTAAGACACAAAGGGTTTTGGTCGCGCAAAGCACACGGATACGTAAAACTCAGTGTTTGCGATGCAACGCAAAAAGAGTAAAGATAAAAAAGTTTTACAACCACGTCTTCGGTTGACAAAAAAAAAGATAAATTAAATACACAAGAGATAAACAATGTATATATAACACTGTCGGGTGAGATATGAGAGGACGACGTACCGTTAGAGGAGAAGAGTCCTGTATCCGGAGTATTTAACGAGTATGAAAAATTGTACGGTCATTCCTTAACTGCTGCAACTAACAACTTTGCAACTGCAGGAGACGTAGAAGTAAGTAAGTAGTTGCGGACTAAGAGTATGGGGAAGGCGGAGGAGAAGCTGATGCTCGAAGCACATCGGGTTTGCAAGAGGAAAAAAAAAATGATATAAGTAGCGGGTATGTGGCGACTGTCATCATTATTCCGTACTGCTGCTGTCGCGAACGTTGATGCGCGCTCTTAATTATAAGTATACTGAGTATAGGCACATCTGTGAAATTCGCGAGTAGAATAAAAAAAACACTGGAGTTATCTACTTCCTATACCTAATATGCGCTCAAGTACCTACCAACGGAGTCGATCGCTATGTATGCGACTTGCGTCTATGTATATTATATATATATATGTTCATTCATTTTTCTCCTCCAACTTTCGCGTGTCTCACTTTGCTCCGAAACCAAAACTCATCCAAGTGACCTGCACTCGCTTGGTAAGCTGATATTATACGCGTATTACTTTTCTCGTTTAAATCATATATTATGTAACAGTAATTTTCAAATTTGCTCACAAGTAGCAAGTGTTAATAGTATGCATGTATAGTGAACTTCATGTGATCATTTTTTAGAAAAACTCAAATAATATATAATCGTGCAATACGGTAATAAAACATAAAAAACATTTTTGACCATTTTTTTTTTTTTAATTCCAGGCACACGAGTTAAGTATGCTTACGATAGCAGATATGCAAACAATTAATTCCTTATTTCTCCCTTGACTTTACGTGTATTGTTAAAATTTGAATACGACCAGGGAATAAAAAAATCGCGAAAAAAACCGTACAAACAAGTTATGCAATACTGCTTATTATATACATAGTCGTTAATCATTCGCGAGAACATTACAACTTTAAACGAAAATACAGTTCGATACGCTAAGTATTGTGGAATAGAGCATATTTATGTATATCACAATGAACATTGTACGTTACATTTTAAAAAAAAAAATATATATGTATATATTTCAAAAGTTTAAAATTTAGTACCCTCTTTTTTCATGCATGAAAAGAAATTTCCACTTGTTTTTTTCGACTTTCCAAAAAAAAATTGAAATAACATTTTGTATTTTTTTTCGCTTCAAAAAATTTAGACTATTTTCCAGCAATACCTAAATAATAATAAGTTCATTCGATTAACCCTACGAAATGACCTCGGGTGACTCCGAGCTAATAGAAATGTATTGTGTGGTTTAGCACAAATTATTGAGACGTAGGATATGTATACAATTTTGGGGTTCCAATAAAATTTTTTTTTTTCAAGTAATAACAAGGAGATAATAACCGTACATCCCAAAATTATCGAAAATTCAATGGATTTTGCGAATTTTGTGATTTGTGAAATGAAAATCTCAATTTCGGGTTGCAAGGAAACTATTCAAAACTTAAAAAGATTTTATTTAAAAAATGACGCTTACACTTATAAAAAATACATTTTAAAATGTTTTTATAACCAAGCATGAATTTATCCCCATGTAAAATCGATAAAAATAATTGTGGTCAATTCGTTCTGTGAACCAATGATGCTTCTGCCGTCTCTGAAGCAAACTCCTTTCCTACCAACAGAGCAGGCTGCAGCTGGACAAATCAAAGCACCGCCACGGGGATGTCGCCAATATGATCAAATATTGCATGTATACTTGGCTGATGTGTTACGAAAATTTAAGATTTATTTAAGGTACCAATAAGTGACGAGCTTGACTTTCGGAGCTCGGTCGAAAGGTGTGCTATTGCGCATTTGTCCAAGCAACGTCCGCTCGATGGACCAATGAAAACTGTAGCTTGAACAAACGACCGAGTGTATCGAAAGCGGCCCAATTTAAACGTAAATAGTAAAAAAAAATATTTAAACAGTGGTACTTCACGTTTCGTCATATTAACCATTAAAAGTAGGTAGTGTATTGAGAATTGTTAACATACCATGTGGTGAAAAGTGTAAAAATGTCTTTTGCGCATGTGTATTATTGTTTTCGATTTCGAACGTAAACCGGATTTTTTGGGTATATGGCAAAAAACGAATTCTTCCCCTTTCGTTTCATGATCTGTTATTTTTTATCCAATCCTCTTACAAATGGTACTGTATGAATTACCATTTCGCTCACACACCTCATCAACTGTTTTCGAATAAGTTCATTTGTTACGTTCCTCCCGGTATCGCAGCTTCATGCACACAATTAAAAGGTCGAAGAGAGAAAAATAGCATGTGGTTATATTTATTTAGCGTACATTGTGCATATACTTATGTAAAAATGAGATAAGCGTAGGCGGACCTCCGAGTGCTCTCTCTCCGAGTCGTGTTTAGATCGAATGTGTATGAGTAGTATAGGATAGAAATAGAATGAGTAGGTATATATATATATACATGTATCTAATACGCCGAATAGACAAACATGAGTGTAGCAACGCCCGAATAAAAGTACTTTCGGAGGAATGTCACTTTTATCATAGTTTTGCGGCTTTTACTTCATCGATGAGTATATCGTTAAAAGTTATCGTGTAAGTACTTATTTATTTTGGAGTCGTCGACACGCGCATGCCTTATATTGACAGTTACCAGTTACAAAGCTAAGCTGGTGCTAGGTACTATCCTCTTCTTGTTCGCTGTGCCGTTGGCGTCCTATCGTCTTGGTCGAGGCTCTGTGAGCTGAACGCGCAAACGCGGACCATTATACTACCTACCTACCTCTCGGTGTATAGCTCAGAGAGAGTACCACCACCACCACCTGAGGAAAGAGGAACGCACGTGAAGGAGAGAGCGAGAAAGAGCGCGTGCAGGTACAGGAGAAGGAAGAAGGAGAAACGTCGCCCGCCCGCGTCCGCCGTCGTTATACCGGAGGAAGAATATTATAATCGGCAGCGGCGGGGGGAGTAGCCGGAGAACAGCAGGGGCAGAACATATATATACATATACTTATACACCAGGAGGAGGAGGAGGAGGAGGAGGTGTAGAGACTAGAGAAGCCGTGAATGCCTACGACCTCAGCAGTCGAGTAGGTGTACACCGCGCGCGAGGCAAGCTGACAGCTGCTAAAGTGAGGACGTGTAGGTATATATAAGGACAGGGTGCCTGTTATCATAGGTATATAGACGAAGATCCAGAGAGAGAGAGAGAAAGAAGCGAACTTTGTCTAAATTAAATCTAATTTTTTCACCATTACTTATTTATTATCATCAATTCACGTGCAATTATTTATAATCTTACCTTACCCTGCATCGATACGCGTACGTATATTACACACAGTCGTATCGTCGCCGCGACTCTGCGCTCTGCGTCTCCCCTTCTCTTCCGAAAGAAGAACTCACGCGTGCGCCCGTGCTCTCTGTCTGTGATGGTCTGATGTGCGAGCATCGAGCAAAACGTTTGTAAAATAACTCGGTATATACTTACTTACACGGCAATCACGTCGTAGGAGCCATCATGATGCGTTCTCGTAATATCATCACTTGAGTGCGTGTGCAGCAGTGAGAGTGCGGGAAAAAAACGAGATAATTACAAATATTGTCCCTCCTACCCTGTCCCTAACAGAGTGCGCGGCATTATAGGTGTATGCAAAAACATATACCTCGTATACCTATATATATATATATATATATAAGCCCAAGGCCAG